CTGGAGCTAGTCACTCTTGCTCAGCCCCAAGAAAGGAAGCAATGCCAAAATCTTGCCAAGAAAACTGCACAGACCTGTCCAGGAAATTGCTTGGAGTCAACAGTATTTCAAAGGCACAAAAAACAAAAACAAATTTGTCTTGAGTCAATCAATATAATTTTTGAAGGCAAGAAATGTATGGGGCTTTCAAATGTAGAATATATAGAATAAGGGATATTAGTACTTAAAATTCAATTTCAACCTAAGATTAGTTGCTACAAATTTAAATACAAGTATTAGTTCAAATTTTCACTAATTCCTTTCCCTCCAGTCACTGAAGACTACAGTATTCCTAATTTGTTTTAACATGTTAAAAATAGTTACATTTTTAAAATGTACTTTTTAAAAACAGTTGGTTATGCATTAAAATTTTTAGTACTCCCAATATCACTTAATGTAAGTGAATGATTATGTCTTATCAAGTTTGTGTTGACTTTTGATGATGACAGTTTCCCTTGAAAATAATGCAACTAGTACACCTTAAAAGGAGCTGACCTGTATTTGGAATGTTCACACAAGTTTGTTTTCTAATAAAATCCACAAGCTGGCCCAGTCGATTAGACGAATTATATTCTATTTCATCATCACATAAGTAGCACCTAGTTTGATTAAAGAATCCAGAAATGCACAATTAATAATTTGGTTTACATCAAACTAGAACAGTATGTGGTAGAACATAATTCACACATTTTTGAAATGCAAATATATTACTTTAACAGTCCTTACAAAAATACCTCATTCCAATTTGTGCTAAACATTTACCATTAGTTTAGTGGTTAAGGCACCAGGCTAGAAAGCAAGAAACTGTGAGTTCAAGTCCTGCCTTAATCATGAAAGACAGCTGGGTGATTTTAGGCCAGTCACTCTCTCTCACCCTAAGCCATCTCACAGGGTTATTGTTGTGAAAACAGGAGTTGAAAACAGGAATAGGAAGGTATAGTGGACATATTTGCTGTTTTGAGTTATTTGCAAAAATAGTAAAGGTGGGATACAAATAAATAATAAAAAAAATTTATATTGATAAAACTTACCAGACACACCAGTTTTCCACATTAAGAACCAAACAGTGAGGTTCTGATCTTGGTGTTTCATAATGTTTTAAGGCATGTTGCTCTTGACAATTTCTGCCACAACCCTGTAATGTAACATCACAAGTATGGAACTTTAACATTCACATACAATGTAAGGTATTTTGTTAAGGTGAAACAAAAATTGTTTTAGTTTACAGTTAAAAATGACTTCTGCAATTTAAGTACATCGTTATTATTTACATGAAGTCCTTGATAGATTCAAAATTAATTAAATAAAAGCCTGTATGACAAATTTGGGCAACCTGCCAGTTTGTTCAGTGTTCTGTTAATCCTGAATGAGGACAATCCTAGCTGAATGAGGACAATTCCACAACAATAACTTGTGACTGCAATTCTATCAACATTCTCCAAGCAGTTGCTTGAGCATTTGAAAATGCCTCTAGAACATCTTGGTCCATGGTGTGAGGTTGGCCCCAACCCTCCTGACCGTCTATAAAAACCTAAAGACCTGGCTCTGTCAGCTAGCTTGTGGCACCAATGGGGAACATCACAGCGGAGGTGGTTGATTAACAGACTAACAACAAATTCCACCTTCTCCACATCTTGCCTCCTCCCCATCTTTAATTAGACTGTAATGTTTGGCTTGTTTATGTAATGTTTTGTGTGTGTGTGTGTGTGTGTGTGTGTGTATGTGTATGTATGATTGTAAGTCACTCAGAGTTTTCCTATGGTAAGATGAGGCGCTGGTAAATTTCATAAATATATGGCAACTCACTCTTGCAAAGTAGAGAAAGGATGCACACTTACAAGATTTTCAAGCTAGCAATTTCAACAGTGAAAAATAGAAGTTACATAGAATTACTGAATTTGAAGCAAAAAGATCTGGAAGGCCACGAACAATGTTAGAATTTCTCAAAATGTAAGTGTTGCAAACAGAAGCTAAGATTATTGCTTAGATCAGTACAAGTTAGATACTTTAGTAAGATGGTAATTTTATTGAATAATTTGAAATCAACCATGAAGTATTTATAAGAAATACATTTTTAAAAGGGGAAGGGGGTTCTAGAATGGCCATCAGAGTCTGCAGATTTTAAAATGATTGGCCATTTGGGGGGGATACTCATATACTGTATGCAATTTCAAAAGAAAGCCTAATATTATTTTTGAGCTAGAAGCAAAAGATTTGGACAGATATGGGAAACATTCAGAAATAATTGTATCTGCCCTAAGAGGTGTCATAAAGTATTGGCTGAAAGTCAGTCCAAAATTATGCATTTGTTTATTTACTCTTTTCTTGTTTTGAATCCGGAAATAATTGTGCGTTCAAATTTATAGAAAGAAGGTATGCTTAAATTTTCTACCACGTAGAGAATGTGTTGTGATGCTCGGATGGGTTTGTGTGACACAAAATTTTTTGGCTCTATTATTTTCCTCAGCAGGGATAAAATGAAATCCTAATTTAAAACATCTGCAATATATTTTCCATTGTCAGTAATAGTAACTGGGACATACCCTATGGCCACATTTTAAACATAACCATATTGATGGTTTGTCTTCTGCACTCCTATCAGATTTTTCATCTGTTTTATTGTCATCTATCTGGCAATCCTGGCAGGAATTCAAATCCACAGTCTGCAACACTTTTTTCAGAAGACCTTGTTCCAATCCTTTGCGAAGGTGCTTGCATGTTGGTCCTGTGAGAAATTTTACCCAGAATAAGAATCAACATTAAAGGGGCTTTAAATATATATTATTTAGAGTCCATAAGATATGGCCAAAGATCAGTTGGCTGTCAGTACCAAACGTCTGAGAAACTGACTACCCTATACATATACATATACACATATACATACAGAAAAGAAAAAGTAACAAATCCCCTTCAGAAATCTGATCCATTCATTTTGTGATGTGTTTGTCAATGGCTCTTAGCTATAGCACTTATTTGAAAAGTAGTTCCTGGATTTTAATTTGATGCGAATTACCTGAAAACTAGATTACTGAAACATATGGGTTTATGCCTTAAATATGGACTAAGATAAACATGTTTACCCATAAATATTGTTTTACTCTATATTAGTTGAACTTTAGTTGGATAAACATCTTCAAGGCCACATTAAGCATTTTGCTAAGGAGTAAAATCTTACTGTCTCCATAGCAGTGCAACTTAAATGAATTATCTGTATATGTTATGCATACCCAGTACATCTGGTGAGACATCTGCAGGAATATTTTTTCCTTTTGTTCGCTTCTTTCCCATTATAGCAATACAGGCTTTAATTTCACATCAAACTATAAAAGAAAACAAATTATTTTCCAATAAAATTTTAAAACCTGTAAATAGCAACTAATTTATTATATACAAGAAAGGATGAAATTTACATTTCTGCTTCCTTTCTATTGTACTTTTCAATGGAACTAAACATTTTAAATATATCTGATCAAAGCAAATTGTGACAAACTGTTTTGGAAAATATTCTATTATTTTAATACAGATTCATGGATGTCTCCATAGTAGCTTTTAAATACTTATCTTTGTGATTAAGCAAAGGGAATTTTAAATTCAGCAATAGAGTTTAAAGAAAAGCATAATTTTGTGTATATTGAATGGGATCAAGCCACAATCTCAAAATAACTAATTCAGAGCTAAAGATTGTTTAACACTGGGAAAATTAATAAACCTTATCAATGTATCTATGAAGAGATACACAAATACATTTGCAAATGTAATTGTACTTCAATAGTGATCATTCAAGGACAATAACTCCATCCTGTCCTACTTTACGGAATTGTTTTATGAATTTCTTTTTTTCCAGGGAAGTTCTTTGAATGTTTTTTATTCATGTTTTCATAACAAACATGTGGAACAGCCTAGAAAATAAAATGGCTTCTTTTACTAGTGAATTTTAGTTTTGTTTCTCGTATTTGACTAATATGAAGATATGAGTCAAAAGCATTTGACTTAAAACACTTTAAAGTGAAAACATAACATTAAGCACAGCAGTTTGGATATCTGTTTACATACTTTATTTTCCTTATACTTGCAAAATGGAAAGATAAAAAAAACCAAACCCCAAATCCATTCTTCTTAAACAGGAGCAATAACTCTTTAAATGGCCTAATTTTCTATGCTTTCAGGAGCAACCTGGAACATTCAATTAATTGCTCCATGCCAGGAAAAAGCTAGCATTTGCCTGTTCAGCAATAATTAAACAGAGCAAGAATTAGTTGCTAATAATTTAAAGGGTACGTCCAACCAAGCTCTGTTCTTGGATTGACAAGCAAATTTACTGAACTGCTGCACTTTCAAATATAATGTCCAATTTCCTGGCGGGCGTGGGAGTTGGTTGGCAACTTCAGCCTACACCTGCCTCAGTCACAGGGAGGAGACAGAGAAACAGCTGGAAATGCCAAACGCCAGCACGAATTCTGGCAGGGAAACAGGAATGGCACCAGAAACGCGACCGGCTTCAGCCATTTCTGCCCGGAACGCGCCGCATAGTCCCATGTGAAGCAATCCAGCCGGCCTTTGATTGGCCACTTCAACTTTTTCGCAGCCCGCCTATTCGGCCTTTATTGACAACAGCCGAAACCAATAGTGAAACATTTCTTACCTTCTACGAATTAGAGACAGAAGTTCAAGGGGCCGCTGAGAAAAAAAAGTTCCACGCAGCGAGCTGGAAAAGATCTGCTGTCACTGCGCCTCGAGAAGAAACCTTCCGAATTTAAATATTTTACGACACATCCCTGCGACGCCAGTGGAGATTTACGACTCTCGGGCAATCCTGTTCAATATTAGTGGCATAGAGCGTTTGTTCCGGAGAGGCTCCTTTACTCGGCAGAAACTTCCGGTCCATTGGCTGTTGGGTAAGAACTCTCTACGAAAATGTAAGGCAAGGCGGCGGTGGCGGCGGAAGTGTGTAGTCAGCGGGGAGTCTTTGCTCTCCAGCTGATGACGCGGCGTAGCAAAAACGGGAACAACGCGACAACAAGCGCAGTGGTTTGCGATTGAGCGGTAGCGTGTGGCGTTTTTCGTTTTCCAGTGGAAGCAAAATAGACTCCCCCATTTCCGTCTTTAATACAAAAAAGGACCAGAATAGTGACATTTCATTAAAACTGGGATTTCTGCATTTTTAGAAAAGCGGTGTGTTCCCATGTAACGTAGCAGACACAATGGTTTGCAAGCAATTTTGTGTTTACATTTGGGCTACGAAGGTAGAAGTTGATAGTTTTTATGTAGGAATTTGGCTTGCAATCCAAATTGGGCTGATTCTCATTCCAACTTCCGATATTAACAATTACTATATTACAGAGCTTTATCGTCAGCCTTACTGCATTTAGGAAATAAGCTCTGCATTGACTTCTTCATCATTTAATGTGTTTTATATTTGTTAGTATATAAAATAATTGTAAAAAGACAAAGGTTAACTTGTAAAAAATATCTCTGCTAGAGTTAATAGTGTTCAGAAAAAGAAAAGTTAAGTATATTTTGGTTTTGCTATTCCTTCTGAGTGCTTCTCTGCTGGAATAGGAAGGGAAAATATATTTTGACCAAGTTGCATTGTGATTTCACATTTTATCTATGACCAGTTCTAAAGTCCAACTTTCAGGAGAACATGTGCTCATATTTAGTCATATTTGTATCAATCATTGACTTTTTTTTCTGCCTCCACTATTAGATGTAATAGGGAAAAAGGTCAACTTTCAAAGCATACTTAAAACATGTTCATGAATTCATGTACTCTAAGCAGTAAGTGAAGCCCGGAATGGGACTCTACATCCTGGTCTGGAACTTAATACTGCTAAAAACAAATGGGCTTCTATATATACACCTAACAATAGTTCTATTTCCTTTTGGGAAAAGCCATTTAATTTTATTAAACATTACAACATTAAATTGTTAAAACAGTAAGATAAAGAAATTAAAAAAAAAAGATAAGAAAAAACAGCAATAAAGTAACAGTTCAGTGCAGGGGTGGGTTCTACTTACCTTTACTACTGGTTTGCAACGGGCTCGCGCACTCGCCTTGCTTCTGCGCAGATTGCCAATGATGACATACGGGGTGGTGGGTGGGGCCTCCCACAGGTTTTACTACTGGTTCTTGCCAACCAGTCTGAACCGGCGGCAACCCACCACTGGTTCAGTGGTTCAACACTATTCACTATACTTCTGTCTACCTTTGTAGTAGAATGCTACATAATTTCCCCCCAAAGTCATTATATTATCACCATTCTCTAGATTGAATATGCAATTACTTGTTTGGTCCAGTAGTTAAGGCACCTGGCAAGAAACTATGGCACTCTGACTTGTAGTCCCGCTTTAGGCATGAAAACCAGCTAGGTGACTTTGGGCCAGTCACATATTCTCAGCGCAACCTACCACCCAGAATTATTGTTGGAAAAATAGGAGGAAGGAGAGTTAGTTATATTCGCTGCCTTGAATTATTTCTAAAAATAATAAAGGCGGGATAAAAATAAACAATAATATCAGGACTTATGTAATGTTCTTGTCTACTGTTTTCACAAATGTATAGCATATCCATTTTTTCTATTGATTCATATTCTTGGCTATTTACTTTTCCTCAATCTCAATCTTTAATATGCCAGATTCTCATCGAGTGACCTGATAAGATATTGACTTCTATTACCCATCATGGTTTCAGTCAATCAGGACTTCAGCATATTGTCTTTCAATAAGATAATGAAAATACAGATTTGGTTACCAACCTTAATTGCATTTGTGTCACACATAGCATTCCTTGCTAATGTTACGGATAATGCTAATTAGTTTAATACAGTAGTGAAATTCAAAATTTTTACCTACCGGTTCTGTGGGCGTGGCTTGGTGGGCATGGCAGGGGAAGGATATTACAAAATCTCCATTCCCACCCCACTCTGGGGCCAGCCAGAGGTGGTATTTGCTGGTTCTCCAAACTACTCAAAATTTCTGCTACTGGTTCTCCAGAACCTGTTAGAACATGCTGGATTTCACCCCTGGTTTAATACATTCTTTGGGCAGAATGCCCCAAATGCAGGAAAAGCCCAAACAAATAGAGTCACTATTCTTTGCAAGATGGGAACTCTAGAGACTATCTTGAAAGCCAACATACTGTTGCTCTCCACCAGTTACAAGGTATGCACATTCAGAACTTGTTTTATACAGTGAATTACATTCTGACATTGCAGTAATAGGAAAACTAAATGTTCATTATTAAGAATAGTGTAAATACTTGTTTGCTAATAGATTGTATCATTATCTTGAAGCTATATAATTACAGTATACATTTAGGAACTGAAAATGTTTGACTCAATAGTTGTTTTTAAGAATTTAAAAGTGTACCCAATAACATTTTCTCCATTTCTTTATAGGAATTACATTAATACATCAAAAATGAGCAATTTGGAAGAAGCTGAACTACAACTTTCTGAATTAGATTTACTTTCTAGTATGTTTCCTAATGAAGATGACTTTAAGGTGACTGATCAGTTGGCTTTAGCAGAACTGAAAGATTATGTTGGAAAATGTACTTTAGAAGTGCCATCTTCGAAAATACAATTCATCTTATATTTAGATGTAGAAACTCCTGATGAAAATAAGGTAATGTATCCTTATATCAAAAGAAAAGTTCACAAATTGATTGCTAGTAGAATTTAAATTTTTTTTTAACTTTTAAAAAACTTCTTTCTAGGTACCACTTACTTTGTGCTGTGCTTTCCCATTAAAATATCCAACTATTCTTCCAGAAATCACTATAAGGTACATTTTGATACATACAGGATAAGTAGGCTGAAAGATGAAATGCAGTATAATTTTAATAGGATACTATAATTCTCATATTGGTAAATAGAATGATCTTAGTTACATAATATAATCTCAAGAAGAGAAATATGTTGTCAAATTCATATGATCTGAAAAGTACAATATAAATCTAATGGATTTTCTGGAACTGTAATTCTTAATACTAAACATGAAATGCATTTATTTAATTAATTTGATTTTATTAATAAATATATATGACTTGGACCATTGCAATCTTCAGGACCATTTTCTTCAGCTCACATTATATGATCTATTCAGGAAAGGTTGCATTGGGAACTAACCCTCAGTGCTTAATCACTGAAGTTAAGTTGGTTCCCACCTTTTTATCTTTTGGGAAACAGTTGAAGATTGTGCTCTTGCCCAAGGCTTTAGGAGTATATTTGAAAGATACCATTTTTAAAAAAGAATTTAATATTCATTCTTTAATTGTTAACCTATATAGAGCTGTTCAAGTAAGCAACATAGAAATAATTGTAAATAAATATTGGCATATTACTGAGATATAGGAATGCAAAAGATGGCAAAAACCATACAACATTTGAAGAGTTGAGTAAAGATGCAAAAAGCAGGTATATTATTATTACTATGAATGTGTGTGTGTATGCATATGTGCCGGTATTTTATATCTGAGTTGCCTTATCAGTGAGAGGGGGAGTATATACCATAAGTAAACAAACAAATGTTATGAGATATGCTCCAGTTGATCTTGATTGACCTATTTTGGACCTTTCTGAATTGAGCCATACTTTCACCATTTTTTTTTTGATTAGGCATTTAATATATTCCTTCCTGTTGTCTGAGATACTGTGAAATATAGTTAAGTAAGTTTTTGCATGCATTTGACTTCAGTTGGCAAACTGACTTTTAATTAGTGGGCACCTGTGGGCAATTAGATCATTCTTTACTCTTTGGTTATAACATCTCTTGCTGCATTTATGATTAAATGAACACTTTTAATCTACATCCAATCTGTTACTGTCAACATAAAACAGTTAAGTATAATTGAGAACAAGTCTTTCTTTATATCAAAACAGATTTTTTAATTTTTTTACTTTATCTGTACTCAAAATGATGCCCTTTTTTAGATCTCCATTGTTAAGCCGATCACAGCAAGCTCAGATGAATGCAGATCTCATTACTTACTTGAAGAAACATTGTGCTGGTGATGTTTGCATATTAAATGCAAGAGAATGGGTTAAAGACCATGCTGCCATGTATATAAACAAAGGACCCTTACTGTCTACTGTTGAGAAATCAGATTTTCAGAAATCAGAATGTATTCTCACTAGACTCTGGATTTACAGTCATCATATATATAACAAACAGAAAAGAAAACATATAATTGATTGGTCTAAGGAACTCTCTCTTTCTGGATTCAGCATGCCTGGAAAACCAGGCATCATTTGCGTAGAAGGACCACAAAAGATGTGTGAAGAATTTTGGGCAAGGTAACATTTTTATCAAATTTCTTGTTCTCTAAGTAACAAAGGTATGAGTTTCTAATTTTGCTTGACTGACTCGGAAATATATCTTATATTTGCATTGGAGAGAAGATTCTGTTTAGCAGGGTGGAACATTTCCTTACCAAGAGATTGGATCGGAAAGATATTTTTTCTGTTTAAATTAGTGGAGATATTTACTTTTATTTATTTATTCATTCATTCAATTTGTAAGTTGCCTAACTCAAGGCAATTATAATAATACAGAATACAAAAATAACAGTAAACATGAAATTAATTCTAAAATTCTTGGATGCTTTTCCAAAAGCAGAGATATTGTGGGTTTAAAAGCAGTTATTAAGGAGAGCAGTTTTCAATGTGGGAATGGAATAGAAGACATGTTTCCTTGTGTACATAAAGTTTATGATAGCGGGAATAAAATTTTCTCCTATGAACTGTTGTCCCAGTGAACATTATCTATTGATTTCAATGGAAAATCATTACGGTAAATGTAACCTATACTTCCTGTGCTTCAAGAATTTATAATATTCTCATTGTGTTTAGAATAAGAAGATTATCATGGCAGCGAATTTTAATCCGTCACAGAGAAGACATTTCCATAGAAGGGACTGAAGCTGAAATGGAGAAAGAAAAGAAGTTTTTGATTTTTGAAGAAAAAATATTTGATGCACATGGTGCTAGAGGGAATCACATGGATTTGGGACAATTGTATCATTTTTTAATTGACAAGAGTTGTGGTGAAATATTTCAACTCTATTTTGGAGTTGAAGGACAATAAATTAAGGTGGGAAAAGCATTAAGGATCTAAACTAAGGATGTAGATTTTTTTCTTTTTATTTTATTGAAAGAATAGAATTCTAAAAGTTGTATTTTATACTTGAAAAATAAATCAATGGAATTGAAACTGGATGCCAGAAAATGTTATTTGCTTTGGTAATTTAAGTAAAGTTTCTGGATATATTATCAATACCTCATTGCTGTTTGTACTTCAGAAATAGCAAAGTTCTGTGCTTATATTACTCAGGGATAGAAGAAATGGCTATGTACGGTATCTGACCTTGGTTAAAATTAAGCCTTTTGCCAGCTTTACATTAAAAATATTTTAGTTCTCTTATAGTATTATGTGGATAAATAGTTCAGATTGCTATGAAATTTGTTTGCATTGCAAGATGCTTGAACATGTTCTCTGGAACACTGGCCAGATGTTTAGGACTTAATTCTGTCTTGAACCAAGAGGTGCAAGTCCTTTCCATTAGCTTGCAATTGATCAGGATTCTACTGAACAGCAGGTAATACATTTGCAAAGAACTCCATGATTCACAGGTGTATTCATGAATCTAAACTGAAAAATTACTTCCAAATCTACACTGTGCACATTGGGAAAAAGATATGGAAAAATAGGATGGCAGTGGGGATACTGACTTGATTGATTGAAGAAGATGAATTTCTAACATATTCTGGGCTTTCCTGGATCAGGAGTCCCTGTGCTCAGTCATTCAAAGGCTTGGTCATCTCATATCTGACTACTGCAAGGTGCTCTACATGAGGCTACCCCTGAAAAGCATTTGAAAACTACAACTGATGCAGAGTGCAGCAGAATGGGCAGCTTTTGGGCCCCCTAGAATTGCCCATGTTACACTGAAGTTTGTGAGCTGCACAGACTAGTAGTTTGCTTTTGGGTGCAATTTAAGGTTCCTATAAAGCCCTGCGTGGCATGGATCCAGGTTACCTGAAGAACCGTCTCATCCCAATGGGACAGCCCATTCCATGTGTGCCAACAATGCTGTGGATCCCGTCATTCAAGGAATTTTAGCTGGCAGAGTCCAGAAGAGCCTCCTCTGTTCTTTAAAATAACTTGCCCACCTGGGGTGAGACCTCTCTCATGCTCTTGACTTGGGTCTGAAAAACCTGGCTCTGCCAGTTGGGTTGGGGGGCTCTCATGCTGGAGGTAGTTGATAGACTAATAACAGATCTCATCTCACCCCTCCGTTCCTTGTTCCCTCCCTCTCCCTCTTCTATCTGCCTACCTACCTACCTAATTGCAACTATTTACAATTAAAATTATAGACCTTTTTCGTTTGTGGTAATTTTTCACTTAAAAAAAAATCTTTGCTCAATATATTTTTATCCCTGTATTGTTTTTTTTTTTTTTGAGGGAGAGGGCTTTGTGGGTTTCTGTCAATGTTAAAAATATTAAATGAATAAAAAAAGTTATCCTAAATAAGCCTGGGCATATATCAATAAATGTTTTGGCTGCATGTTTTTTTAAATCTCTAGACAATCGTGATTTTCCCCCCTGAAGAACGCCTTTTGAGCTTTCTCATAAAGAGAGCATAAATTCTGTTGTTACCACAACATACTGCAAATGCAGTAAACCATCTTCAGCAGTGTAAAACGTAATTGGTACCGATTGGTAAACAAGCGTAATCAGTCAGAAAGGGGGGGAGGATACGTAGTTACCAAAAAGAAGAGCTGACCTAAAATTATCATCTTAAAAGTGGCAATTAATTTAGAACAGTTAAAGTATCTACCAAGAATAAAAGAATCTTTTATATAAAAGCATCCGTCGAACTTCTTTCAGTGATTTCAGTAAATTCAGTAACTAGCTCATCAGCAATCATTCCCTCCAGCGCGTTCTGTTTCCCCCCCCCCTACACCCCCCACGTGGAATACTTTTTGTACCCTTCCCTAAACTGAGGGAGGAGCACTAAAGGGGAGGAGCCTCCGGACTTCGGCGTCCCTTCCGCCATTACCTTTACTTCCGTTTAACCCGGAAACAGCCTTTTTCCCCCTTCCTGTCTGTGGGACCAACTCTAACCCCTGCCCTCTGTTTTCCCTTTCCTTTTTTTCAAGTTTCTGACGACGTTGCAGGCGCTATCATGGGAGGCAAGAACAAGCAGCGAACTAAGGGCAACGTACGGGTAAGCGAGCTGATGCCTCCGGGAGGGGATTCGGTATTTCTGGAGAGGGGCCGGGTAGGCTTGCCTTTCCAGAGCTTTCGAACACGGAGGAGAGCTTTGCCTAACTTGTGGCTAAATAAAAAAGCAGCTTATTCCGCACCAAAAGGGACGCTGTCTCTAGACACTAGTTTTAAAGGTGTTGCTTTAATTGTCGCTGGCAGTTAAAGGGTAGCATCGGTTAGTGACTTCTCTAACAAGCCTTCGCAGGATTCTCCTTGCAAGTTTATTTTCCTGTATGGCGAATCTCTCCTTTTAAGGAATACAAATTGCTAAGGATGCCTGAACTTTCAAGAGGGGAAAAGAACCAGTAATATTTCGGCTTCTAAAAAGTAAATGGCTCGGAAGTGTTTGAAATGTCAAAAAATGAATTCAGATAAAAAATTATTCCCATATGGCGTTGGCTTTCTTGGTTGTGGACGGTGTCATATGCACATTTTTAATGCTGTATACCCCTTTCTATTTTAAATAGTTAGGGTTACATCCTTGTAGTTAGTGAATCTTGCTGTGTCCGGAGTGCCTTGTGTGAAAATTTTCAAACATTTAGTAGTTATTTTCTCAAAACTTGATGCACGCTTACTGATTCCATGTTTTCTGTGGCAGATACTGTGAATATGTCTGGACTGTTGCTTGTTTGTTTTCTGTTAAGTCCTAAATATTAAGTCCTAACAAATTCTGTTAAGTCCTAAACATCCTAAATATTTAGGAATGAACACTCTGTAGCATTGTGAAGGCCATCAGAGATTTAAATTGTGGTAGAAATCTTAACTTTGCTCTGTAGTAACATTTGTTCAGATATGCTTTTTGGAATTCATTCATAAAGCACTGTTAAGTAACACCAGCTGCCTGCAATTACTGCAAGTTCAAATCTCACCAGGCTCAAGGTTGACTCAGCCTTCCATCCTTTTGAGGTCGGTAAAATGAGGACCCGGATTGTGGGGACAATAAGCTGACTTTGTATAAAAAAGAACACCACTTAGGGGGGGGGGGCGAAAGCCCTACTAAGCAGGTATATACAAAAGTATGAAGGCTATTGCTTAACACATTGTAAGCCGCCCTGAGTCTCTGGAAAAGGGCGGCATATAAATCGAACCAATAAATAAATAAAAACTCAAAAGTGATGAAAATAGGAAAAAAGTGGTAGATGAAGATAGGAAGAAGGAATGATGGTTAGGAATTAGAATATCAATTTATAGTGTATTTAACAAATGAGAAGTTCATTCAGAAAACCATCCAATTCTGATACATAGTTAATTTTTTAAATATAGCATTTTCTTTGGGAATCAGTTCCGCTTGTCTATATGTGTAATTGCCTTCAGAAATATAGGTGTTGACAGCATGGGAAAATTTGGTGACAGTGTATTAGTAATAGTTCAATTGTGAAATTGTCACCAGATATTAAGTTGCCTTATATTTTGTCAATGAGTAATGACAAAATAATTAATCTAATGTAACTTAATTTACAAATCATCCAATTATTATTTTACTTTATTGTTACTTTATTGTAAATTAATTTTTTAATATTTTGTAAGCTTTAGCTTGGTTTTTTTTGGGGGGGAGATAAAACAGTATTATTTGCTTTAACAATGTAAGGAATCAAGAAGCAAACCATAAAGTTAACAATTTGATATATATGTCGCCTTGAGTTTATAAAATAAAGATAGCATATAAATAATTAAAATAAAAATTGCAGTTTTGGACATAACAATGATTCCCAAGGAAGTTTGTTTAGGATTTTACAATTCTGAAACAGCAGTTCTTTTTCTCTCTTTCAAATATAGCCTTCTAGCAGTGGAAGAACAGCTGAACTTCTAGCTAAAGAACAAGGAACTGTTCCTGGATTTGTTGGCTTTGGCACCTCTTCAAGTGACCTGGGATACGTTCCTGCAGTTCAGGGAGCTGAAGAAATAGATAGCCTTATAGATGCTGATTTTCGTATGGTGCTAAGAAAACTTTCCAAAAGAGATGTCACAACCAAGTTAAAAGTAGGCTTGTTATATTATATTTAGAGGATCATTATATATTTACTTAAAGGATTAGTAATTGCTGTAACATTTTTGATGTTTTGTTTGTTTGTTCCTAACATATTCCTGCAAGTGCAGGGGTCTCTTTTTTCATATCAGTTGAGTGTTGATCCGTTGGTTGCATCAGAAATTGACTGACTGGCTTGCCACCCAAGCCTGATGTGGACTGAAAGAGAGTGACTGGCCCAAAGTCTTTTAAGCTCAACTTTTAAGGCTAAAATGGGGCTAGAAGTCACAGTCTCCTGGTTTTTAACTTGGTGCTTATTCATTAGATCAAACTGGCTCTCAACTATAATATTTTTGATCTTATAATTTATTTATAATTTGTATTTTTTTAAAAAAAATAATTTTATATTATGTAAAAATAAAATATAAAAGCTGAAAAATAACACACACATACACTGCATATAAAAGTCATTCAGCCAAGTTTTTAAACACACTTGATTACATGGAGTATCATTGTTCTACTCTTCCATTACATCAGTAGAAAGCAGTTGAAAAACAAAGTGAATATTTAGCAATATTTCAAGGTTTTAAGCCTAGATTAAGTAATCTTTTTTGTTCTTTCCCATGCTAATCTAAAATTCTTCATTTATCACTTACGGTCCCAGATTTTAGATATATAATTCAGTATCGCATTATATTTTTACAACATTTTTTGTTATGCCATTTTAATAAACTTACGGATATTAAACCATGACAATGGGGCAAGGAACTTCCTGTTAGAGCTTGACTAACTTAAAAAGTTATAAAATTATTGTATAAATTTAATAAATGTTGATATAGAAAATACAGTATGTGTTATATGTATTAAATCAATATAATTGACGTACATACATCAATATATAGCACAATTATACTATTTATATAACTGCACATTTCACAGTGGTAACCTTGTTCAGAATAAGAAATTGTGCTCGGGTAGGGTGAGTTGGAGCCTGGAGATGGTTGTATTGTATTGTATAGTATTGTATTGTATTGGAGGAAAGTGGCTGAGATGCCAGGTTTTCCTTTAATTTTAAAGCTGCCAAGAGTTGTGCTTCTTAAAATAGGTGGCCATAGAAATCTAGTAAACTAATAGATTTTTTAAAAAAATCAATACTGTCTTGTACACACAGTATCAATTGGTAAAAATGAAGTTTTTTTTAATAATCACCATAACAGAAAGCATATAATAGTGGATAATCATCAGCTTTGTTTTTTTAAAAAAACTTAATTATTTTTAATTTTAGGCTATGCAAGAATTTGGGGCAATGTGCAAAGAAAGAGAGACGGAGATTGTTAAAGGAGTTCTACCTTACTGGCCTAGAATTTATTGTAAAATTTCTCTTGTAAGTACTGAAATTTATATTTATTGGAAGAGCTTGAACCAAGCCTGCTTTTAATTAGCTGCTGTAGTGGTCAGAGATGAATGCAGAGTTCTGTTGTACCTTTGATATGTTCTGCAAAAAACTTTGAATTAGATAAACCAGTGATAATGCTCTAGTGTGATATGGAAAGCCATAGAAAATAGGGCATTAATGTTATATATATTTTAGCTGTAAGATATGACTCAATAAAATTTGCTTTAGAGAAATAGATAATCTAAAATTGTTCATATGTATAGTGAAATTATATAATTATTTTTGTACTTGCCAATGTTTATGGTAGGATCATGATCGCCGAGTCCGGGAAGCAACACAGCAAGCTTTTGAACAGCTTATTCTGAAAGTCAGAAAACATTTAGCTCCTCATTTAAAAAACATTATGGGATATTGGCTTATAGCTCAGTGTGATATTTACTCTCCAGCAGCATCAGCAGCAAAAGAGGCATTTGAAAAGGCCTTTCCACCAAGCAAACAACCTGAAGCCTTAATGTTTTGTAAAGATGAAATTTTAAATGTAAGTTCAAGTTTGTATGCTTTTTAATTTTTGTTAAATATGTAATTGAAAATTAACAGAGAAGGCTGTGGCTATCTAAGGAAATCCAACAGAAACAGTTTTTTGCTTTTATACTTGCTAGATGTTTTCATAGTTATCAAGTGTCCAGTCATTGCCACTTTTTAAAATGATGATGCTTTGTACTTTTGAGTTGTCCTTATGGCCTGGGACTTCCTGGATGAGTCCATGCAGTTTTCCTGTCAACAATTTTGCCATTACCTTCTTTTTACAGCTGAGATTGGCTCAAAAGCATCCAGTTGGTTTCACGCTTGAGGCAAGACTACCACTCACAGTCTTCCAGTTTGTTGCATGATGCTGTAGACTACTACTTTAAATATTATTTAAATCATAATAAATACATAAAATGATAAACGTTAACCTTAATTAATTAACCTTTTCTGAGACTACAATAACTTAAGTATAATGTCAGTTAAGATGTATTGCAATTCACACATACAATGAAAGAAAACCATTCTTTCTGAAATTATTTTGAATTTATTATGTGAAACTGAAATTTAGTAATAATATTTTATCTTCTTTATGTATGTTCCATGTATATGTTTGTATGTTACATATTTCCCAACCTGTTCATTTATTTGGCTTTTTTCTCTGGGTGGAGTGCTTTAGACATAATTATTAGATAATCTTTTTAAGCAGAATAAATATGCAAAGTTCCACTTATTTGGATTCATACCATAATAATTTTAAATTAAAGAAATGTACATTTGGCATTGTAATACTGCATTCTTATTCTTAAAAAAAACATTTACTTTTTATCTATAAATTGAGTATTTTTCCATTTAAGGATATCTGACTATTTTTGTCCAGGTACTACAGGATAATCTTTTGAAAGAAACTCCTGATACACTAAGTGATCCACAGTATGTACAGTATATTTTAATTTCTTTGGAAAAATAAATTTATATTAAGTATTTAAAAAGATATTCTTGAAATAAAGGAAATGAAAAATGTTGAAGGTCTATCATGTCAGGTGACATGAAATATTCTCCCAGTTAAGTTTTCTTTTTCGAGACCTCCTCTAGTAGTTTTAATAGATGGAAGAGATTTCTATGCAGAGAAACGTCTTCTGGCCATTGGTACTGCTGGTCAGAGCTTAAGTCCCTCTTCAAAATGAAGGTTGTTGCCTTTTCACATTAACGAGAACTGTGTTGTTTCTGCACAGTAAAAAACCTTGTTAACAAGGTTGACTCGGCCATATTTTGATATCTTGGAATGTGCAGATTTTCTAACTGTGTTAATAAGAAATGATATGTATTAGGATGGTATGAAACTCCAATTGCCACTGACGTGCACTCAATTCTGTGACTTTAAACCTGACAAAACGGAAATTTTGGAAGTTTCCTATTTGCAGTAATAATAGATCTGTGTAGTTGATGCATACATACAATTAAGATTCTGGTTTTCAGGATATGGGTGTGTTGTCTTTAATGGGATTTAAAATCAAATATGAAAAAATTTAGTGAAATTTGAATTTGTAAACCATGTTCCTGTGTTTTTTATTCAGAGCAGTTCCAGAAGAAGAAAGAGAAGCCAAGTTTCATCGAATTATAACTTCTTCTTTATTATCTTTAAAGAAATTGCTTTGTATGATGCCCGATAATGAGATTAAATCATTGGAAGAGAGACTTAAGACACTTCTCTCTCAAAACAAATTTTGGAAATATGGGAAACATAACATAGCACAGGTATCTTTACCATTTTGCTTTCCTCAAAAAACTATTCTGAAATATAATAAAGTTAAAATAAGAATCTTTATTGTATGCATGAAGACTGTTTTTTGTTTTAAACACAAAACATATGCTTCATATTTACTGGATTTAGCTGAAAAAATTCTTTGAAAAAAATCATTAAAATAACATCTAGCATTATTACAATTTTTAAACTGGCAATATTGTTTAAAATCCTTTAACAATGGTGATAAAGATTGCATTCCAATTTCCTAATGACTAAGTAGTATCTTATATCCCAACTCCTCAAATATTAGTCCTGGATAAGAACTATTTATGTGAAGAAGTTTTGAAGTATTAGTTTAAATGAAAGTACAACTATTATAATTATTAACATAGTTTCATATTTTTCTACTATATGTTATTTTGTATTTTAAAATGCTGCCTTTATTTTAAATAAATCATGAAATTTGAGGAGGGAGGTGAGTCCTTCTGCAGGAAGACTGCAGATTTGGTTTTTAACTGAAGTAGTTGCTAAATTAGAATTACTTGATTGCAAGTGGTCTTATGACTTTATTTCAGCTTTCCTTTGCTTTACAATGTCACAAGATATAATGGTATGTGGGAATGACCTTGGAAAGCAGGGCAAAGGGAACAATCAGATAAGGCAATTTAGCCAGCAGCAGGAATATGGGCAGGGTAAGCAGCTCATAAGAAACTCTTCCTAGTTTCTTCGGCTATAAAGGATGTGGGAGAGATGTCAACTTGTCAGACTTGCAAGATTTTGTTAATGTGACTACAGAGTAAAGTAGAATTGGTTCATCTAGCTATATTTCTGGTCTGGTCTACTTTGCAGGCTGACGGAAAGATATGATCCCAAACAATTGGGTTAGCCCCAACAATAGAGAAAGTTTCTGGAACTCAAAAAAGAGGGAAGAAACAGGGCAAAAGGGCAGATTGTTTGATCCTTCCCTCCCCCTCCCCCCCCAATGCTCACTTGGTGCTGCAATAATTAACAAAAATAGAATTAATGTTTGCATTTAGAATCACTGTAGAGGAAAGAATTGGAAGAGAGTAAGCAGGCACATACATAATGGGGAATATATTTCAAAAGGAGTTCTCTAGCATCAATGTTTCCTTGCTTAGGAGGCAAACAAAAGCCTTTAGTATGAAATGGGTTAGGGTCTTATGGCTCTTAGAAAATGGCTCATAGAATCAGGATTGGTAGTTGGTTTTCCATAATAATTTTAAGTGATTGTTATGGTATAGAGATAGTACAGATAGTCTTCACTTAACAACCACAATTGGGACCAGCAACTCTGTCACTAGGCAAGCAATTGCTAAGTGAAACGTGTCCACAATGGACGTATGACATTACTTTCCATTCAATCATTAAGCAAGTTACTGTAAGTTATTAATGAGACATCATATGACTGCAATTTGTGATTTTATTGCTACCTTCTCAATTAACTTGTTGGAAGTTGGTTGTGAAGCACACAAAAGGATGCTGCAACAATTATAAATGCCCACTGGTTGTGAACCACCTGAATGTCAATTATGTGGTCATGAGGATAGTGCAGCAGTCATAAATGCAAGGGCTGATCATAAAGTTTTTCAGCATTGTCATAACCTTGAATGGTTGCTTAACAGGATAGTCATTAAATGAGGTCTACTTGTACAGTAATCATATCAACATGAAAATATTCAGGTTTCCTCTTGTTTCTATTTTAGGTTCGTTCGGCTTTCTTTGAGGTAATTACTACTTTTTGTCAACATATTCCTGAGTCCATGAATGAAGAAGCATCAAGAGTTTGTCCAGCTGTTCTTCTTAGCATTGATGATAGTGATGCTATTGTATGCATTGCTCTTTGGGAAGCTGTACTTCATGTCCTTACTACTATTGAGGTAATCTGGAAGTCATTATGTCTTTAAGTCATTATACATTGAAATAATTACTTAACTCATAGGCACCTTTCAGATTATATATATATATATTAATCATTTTTATTTTATTGTATTCGAACTATTAAAATACAAACTCCAAAAAAAGAAAAAAATACAAAAGCAAAATAAAATTTGACAATACACAAAAAAGTACAAAAAAACAAAAAAACAAAACACATACACATAAATTGTCCATCCGAATTGAATACTGATAAATATACTTCAAAGATAATAACTCCTTCCCCCTTGAGAAGCAAGCATCCCACAATTTATAAATTTCTACCACACTGTTTACCCAAACCAATTAGTTTGACATCTATCTGCTATCTAGATACATAGTTGACAGGTAAAACCAACAGCTAAATTAAACTTCAAAACCCTCTGTTAACAGTCTATTTATTGTATTTCACTTGCAGAAAGTCCACAATGGCTTCTGGTCTACTTTAAGTCATCACAATCATTGCTTCTGATTCGTTCAGGATCAAATATCCTCAATTGGCTAATAATAATAAAGCTTATCCTTAAGATAACAGTTGGATTTTATTCCCTAAAGTCATAAAGTCTCTTGTATATATTTCCATAGCATTTGTTGTACCAAAATGTCTCCTGTAAATTGTAACATAGCATCTCTTAACATATCCTTTCTGATTGAGTATAATAAATCCATTTTCCAATCTCCTTTGATCTTCTTTGAACTCTGAAAAAGTCGAGTTCATCACCAGTCATTTCTATCAACTTTGAGTCTTTAAAATCCATACCTTTCTTGGAGTTCTCTAACCAACTTGTATTTTCCAAGTCAACCTCATCTTTCAGGTCTGCCAGCAGCAAATTACATTCCAATATGTCAAGTTGTAAATCTTGTAGCGCATCTGATTATCATCTTTGAGTTGATTTAAAATCATAGTTACTTTATCAAGCTTTTTATCCAAATTTTCAAGTTGAACTTCTAAGTTAGAAAGTATTCTGTTTCTCCAACTTTCCCAAAAAGCTTTATCTTAATATATTGCCCGCATTTTGACTATATTTTGATATAGTTCGTAATACTTCTGTAGTTAAACTTCTACAGTTGAAACTTTTACAGTTGTAAACTGCTCCTCTCAAAGACACAAAAAGCACCATAGCAAATTAGCTTTAAAAAACATTAAGAGATTTCCCAGCAAAAAATTTCTATCCAAAATTTAAAAAAAAAAAAAGACAATTTTTTAAAATTTATAAAATATAAAATTCCTGTAGTGAAAGTTCAATAGAAATGTAAATCAAATCAGCTCTCTTTCACTATCCAAAGTTTGTCATGTGTTCCATTCGGAAGAAGTGGAAGTTATTTATGGCAGTCAATAAAACAATAAAAAGAACTTTAAAAAGACACTAAGATTCAGCAGGGGGTTAAATTATTCAGCATTCCCAGCTGATTAACATTTGAAAGTAAAAATAAAAAAGGGAAATATATATATATATCAAAATGTGCTCTTAAAACTCAGGCATTCTTAAAACAGCAGGCAGCAGAAGGAAAAGATGGAAACACAATTTTCTGACTACTATCACTGAGAATTGCTACTTTCAAGGTTTTCTTTTCAGGTAGCTATTCACAGTTGACCAAGGGTCATCTTAAGTCATTCTTAGTAGCTCACTTTCAAATCTGGGAAACCTACTGCCAAAGAATCATCTGGAAAAAAAATTGAGACTGCTTAATGAATAATCATATCTCAGTTTGACTATGTTTTTATCTAATACAGCCAACATACATTGACTTTTCACTGATAATTTGGCAGAAGTTTTAAATGGGTAGGCATTATCTTTTCAGATCAACATTTTACAAATTTTCCCTTATGAACCAGTATAAATATCTTAGTTATGGATACCTTAATGTTTCTGTCTTCAGATAATTTATTTAATATCAAGATAAGGAAGTAGGATGGTTCATTTTCAGTATCTAGAAACTAAGTATTCTTTAATATACTGCTTTACGTTTATTACTCTGCAGGATTGTTGGAGCCATGTAAATGCAAAAAAAGGAGTTCTACCAAAATTATGGACAGTGCTTCAAGAAGGAGGAAGAGGACTTGCTACTGTTATATATCCTAATATCTTGCCATTTATTAGCAAGGTGCCTCATAATGTTGCAGATCCAAAGTTGAATTATTCAACAACATTCTTCACTTCTATAATTAAAGGGTATGATAATTAGCTCATGCTTTTTTAATCAAATAATGGTTATGTGTTTAAAGTTTGTTAAGTTTATATTTTAAGTGTGTGTGTATGTGTAGATAGTATTTGTGTTTTATTTAAAGGGAAAGAACAAGAAATAGTTGAATTTGAAAGCTGCAAATACTAGGTCTTCTGAGAATTGTAATGAAACTGTTGAAATAATATTTTGATGATGATATTTGTAAAATTTCCTCCGTGTAGCATTTTTTTATTTTGTTATGTTTTGGTGCTAATTTTTCAGTTGCTGCCACTAAAAACACCCTATAAATCTAATTATTGACTATAGCATTATTTAATCCAATGTGAATATGGAAATTAACTTAATTAATTAATTGGTAGAAAATAATTAGTTAATTAATTCCTGCCTTTTTTGTTTTTACAAATAAGTCAAGGCGGTGTTCATTCTGATCCTTGATCTTCTGTTTGCTTAGGCTATTCACCGAAAGAGCGATGGTTTGTCGTTCAGAATCTTCAGCAATCATATCAACTTTTATGGAGTGTTTACAATTTACAGTCCTACAGAATATTGGTGAAGAAGAAGAAGAAGTTAAAATACAAGAAATGCTTATAAATATCCAGGTATGTTAGCATGGCAAAAATAAAATATTGGATTATCTTTGAAAGTTTTAATTGATTTTTATATTAATACTAGATTGTTGAGTTCAGTTTGCACCAAATATTAATGGTTTGAACAGTTTCCAGTTGAAATATGCTCTTATGAAGCAACAAAAATGTTATCTGAAAAAAACATGTTTTTCATAAAATTTGCTTCTGTTTGCTCCTCCTATTAAAAATTTCCCCTTTACATGGCAAAGAGGCTTCTATTTTCTCTAATTATATTATTGTTGGATTGTATACAGCATCGACCTGGATACAGGTAATCCTTGATTTAGAACCATTCGTTTAGTGACCGTTTGAAGTTACAGTGGCACTGAAAAAAGTGATGTATGACTGTTTTTCCCACAGTCATATGTTCACAATTCGGATGCTTAACAATTGGCATGTATTTATGACAGTTGCATTGTCCTGAGGTCATATGATCCCTTTTTATGACCTTCTGACAAGCAAAGTCAATGGGGAAGCCAGATTCACTTAACAACCCTGTTACTTACTTAACATCTGTAGAAATTCACTTAACTTTGTCAAGAAAGGTCACAAAATGGAGCAAAATGCATTTAACAACTGTCTTGCTTAGCAACAGAAATTTGGGACTCAAATGTGGTCATAAGTTAAGGACTACCTTCACCTACCTATTCCCTCTGTCCCACTTCTGCTCATGAGATGAACTTTATTCATATGGGCTTGTAAAAAATAACTAAAAATAAAAGGAATATGCTGCATAGGTTGAAACAGTTTTCAGAAAAGGTATTAATACATGTTGAGATTAAAATGCATTTGTTTTTTTCTTTACAGTTAATTCCTCTCATTGATACAGTAATTAAAGAGCCCAAGTTACAAAATGGATCTTTGTTTTATGAGATAGCAGACATGCTGAATGTTTGGAAAACAAAAGCAGAAATAACTAATGATGATAGAACATCCATCACTTTTCAGAGAATGTTATCTAACTTTTGGGATGGCCTTTCAAATATATGTGTGGGACATGTTGCTGTAATGGATGCAGATGAGAAATCGTTGGCTGCTGTGTCTTCTTTGTTGCAAATTCTTCAGAACCCAGAAAACAAGATGAAAACAAGTAGAAAAAAAGCTGTAAATGTAAGATTTGTAGAAGACAGAAAAGTTGAAATTAACGCCGAACGTGAGAATTTTGTTGACATGAGAACTAGCAATGAATCCAGTAATGTTATTCATGAAATTCATAGGAAACATACTTTTCCTCTACAGAATGAATCTTTAGAAGGTTTAGTTTGTAAACTTTCAGAACTAAGCATAGGGTACACCAGCCAACAGACATCTGACCAACACTTAAAGTTCCTCTCTGCTCTACTCAGCACCTTTGCTTCCCATAAAGTTTTCCAGGTGCTTATAGAAGAAAGCGATGATGTTCAGTATGAAAATCCATCTATTCAGTTTCTGCACGAAAAGTTAATTGTTTGGCTGAAAGAAGATTGGAGAAAAGAGACAGACTTCCTGGTTGATATTTTATATAGCATTCTCCATTGCTGCAGCAGTCCCATAGAGAGGGAAAATATTCTCAATGATTTAACAAAGGTACAGTTTTCTTATGCAGTAAATTGATTTTATTAAATTTGTTTTAATGCATTCTGTTAGACTAATTAGCGTTTGGAAGAGTAACATTTGTACTTGCACCTTGGTAGCTATGGCTTATCAAGTAACATGCATAAATGTCTTAATATTTGGAAATAGAATTGCATTAGGACAGTTATAAAATACTTTTAATTATCCTTTAAAAGTATCTGTTTTTTATCTGTTACTAATTTTGCTTATTTATTCATTTCCTGGTACAGTTTATAATCAGTTATATATTTTAAACAATATCATTAAGAGCAGCACAAACACCATCTTGCTAATCAGGGAAGCTGCAAATCAATTAGTATTGAAGTCCCACTTAGCACATTGTAAGCCGCCCTGAGTCTCCGGAGAAGGGCGGCATATAAATCAAATTAAAAAAAAACCAAAAAAAAAACCAATGTATTTCCTAGGTTTTGGATGGTCAATTAAGAGAGAGCCAACATCTGTCTTCTGAGACATAGTTTCACACTCTAGGTATTGTGAACATTCAGGTTTTTGTATATTTTCACTGGCCATACTTTCTGATAAGACAAATAAAGTACTATGCTTAAGGGCGAAGATTAAGTTTTCTTCAAGTACACATTTTCTGAGATCTAGTTTCACCACAGGCTAAAGAGTCTGTGGTGAGGCATACCCAATGACACTAGATCTCATGAAAATCTAGCCTAGTTTTCATGTTAAATAAAACATGTTATGCATGGGCCATATGTATATACATATTTCTTCAGAAAAGTAGTAGAAATACTAATAGCACTTAGACTTATATACTGCTTCACAGGGCTTTACAGCCCTCTCTAAGCAGTTTACAGAGTCAGCATATTGCCCCCAACAATTTGGGTTCTCATTTTACCCACTTCGGAAGGATGGAAGGCTGAGTCAACCTTGAGCCTGGTGAGATTTGAACTGCCAAATTGCAGGCAGCTGGCAGTTAGCTAAAATAGCCGGCAGTACTGCACTCTAAACACTACGCCACCGTACTACTCAAGACTGTGTTTACAATATTAAATAGAGCTATGCAGCTGTCTAATTTGTACAGCAAAGGTGATTGAGAGTGTATGTAGATGAAAGTGTTGTACATGTTAGCACCTCCTTAGATCAAATAATTATTTTTCTGAGATTGTGCAGCTAATTTCAAAGCCAGGAAAAAAATGATTTTAAAGGAGTGGCCAGTAGGTATAACATCCATGGCCATTCATTCCCAGATTTCCTTTGAATCCATATCCCTCTCTAATATTACATGATTCTGGGAAATTATCCAGTTTTGTTGTCATGTTTTAATGTTATTTCTTTTTCTTTTCAAGATGGATCTAAAATGGAGTATTCTTCTTCAAATAATCCAAAAGGTACATTCAAATCCCCTCTCCCACCCCCCATTTGCATTTGTATTAGTCTGGGATCCAGAGATGAACTAAGTTGCATCGGTATACATGGACATTTTAGTTGTTCCTTCTACTTATGGCTTGCTGAGTTACTGTTCTGTTGGAGTGAATGAACTCAAATTACTTGGTAGCAAAACCAGCTGTTTCCCCACATTGGCCTGTTTGTGGGTAATTTTTCATTGCATAAATGTTTCTGACTACCAAATATATTTATCTTATTATATTAAAGTGACTGTTTTGGTTACATATTATATAGGTAGATGATTTGGAAATAAACGTTTAAGAAAAATTAGATGAGAACAGCCAAGAGTGCATTGCTTGATTTTTCTTTTCTGCTGCACCTCTGAGAATAGTGAAATGGAAAGGGAATACATCAATTAAAAAGAAGGAAGTGCAAAATATTATCTTTTCCATTTAACCTTCAAGACAGACAGAGAAGATAGCTGATAGTGACATTGGGTCAATCATTTGTCCCAACCCACCTCGCAAGGGTTGATTCCTTTCAAGATGGAACATTTTAAGTATCTTTGATTTAACCAAGTCTTTAAACTGAATATTTAGTATTTTTGATTATAAGTATTTCTCTGCCCGGGGGGAGGGGGGCAGGCACATGCGCACATGCATATCTATCTATCTATCTATCTATCTATCTATCTATCTATCTATCTATCTATCTATCATCTATCTATCTATCTCTTGATCTTACCTTTTATATATAATGCTTTTATGGATCTTATTGATCTGATGCTTTGAAGAGTACATGTTTTTTTGATGCAGATTTTTATAACAAACCAAGAGGTATATTTTGAGATTAAAAGAGTAAACAACTACTTTGAAAAATATTTGTGTATTTTCTAAACCTTAGGCTTGTTCAAGCTCTGAAAAACATTCCTTAAGTTCTACATGGCTAAAAGGAGATGTATTAGGTGAGAAGCTTGTGACTCTGGCCCATGATCTGTGTAACATCAGCTTGAAGATGACAGTAACTTCAGCTGAATCATTTCATTCAGAACAATGGACTCTCCTAAGCTTGGTATTATCTCAGTTAATTAAAAATGGTAAGTGGTACAGACTTTTCTAATGAGTAGTAGACTTCTAGGAGAATTAGAAGGCTAGCTTGCCATGGATAGAAAATTTGAGGCACTGGTGTAGATACGTTAGACAGTATAGTATTTATCATGTGTGCTAATAATAAAAAGCCAGAGTTTTTTTCAGGACACTAAAAATGAGGACTCAGATAGTAGTAGAGATATGACGGCCGTGGCCAGGGGGGCCTTTTATCAGGTTCGCCTGATTCGCCAGTTGCAGCCCTTTCTGGACCGGGACGCCCTGCGCACAGTCACTCACGCCCTTGTTACCTCCCGGTTGGACTATTGTAATGCTCTCTACATGGGGCTCCCCTTGAAGAGCACTCGGAGGCTCCAACTGGTCCAGAATGCGGCTGCGCGGGTGGTTATGGGTGCAACCGGTTGCGCCCACGTGACACCCCTCCTGCGCGAGCTGCAGTGGCTCCCAGTGGTCTTCCGGTTGCGATTCAAGGTGTTGGTCACCACCTTTAAAGCGCTCCATGGCATAGGACCCGGGTACCTTCGAGACCGACTTCTGCCACCAATAGCCTCCCACCGGCCAGTCCGCTCCCACAGAGAGGGTCTCCTCAGGGTGCCATCGGCCAAGTCATGTTGGCTGGCGACACCCAGGGGGAGGGCCTTCTCTGTGGGAGCCCCAGCCCTGTGGAATGAACTGCCCCCGGAAATTTGTAAGATTTCTGACCTTCGGGTATTTCGCTGCGCACTCAAGACCCTGTGTTCCGCAAGGCTGGGTTAGCAACATAATTTTAAATTGGATGTTTTAAATTGGGGGTTTTAAATTAAGCCAAATTTATTTAATATTTTTAAATTATTTTAAATCGATGTTTATTCTGTTTTTAAATAGGCTGTACACCGCCCTGAGTCCTTCGGGAGAAGGGCGGTATAGAAATAAAATTATTATTATTAGTAGTAGTAGAGCTGGTGGTTTTATGATTATGTAATGTCTCTTTTAATCCACAGAGTCCTTAATTGGTGAAGTTTATGTTAAAAGAATAATTGACAAACTTCAAGCCGCTCTGTCAAAAGCTAAGGATCTTTCAGAAGCTGGAAATACAGAACTATCAGTGTCTTTCATCTGTGACATAGCCTCCAGTTTTTTCACTTCGGTTAAAGGATGTTTAATGATGCCATCCTCTGAAGATTTATTATTCACTATTTTCCAGTTATGTGCACAGACCCAGGATATAACACGTTTATCAGGTACAGTTGCTTTGTATGTATGACCAATTCCAAATTGATTTTTTGGGTATATTTCTTACCACCTATTTGTAACTAAAAATTGCAAGTTCATATATATACATACATACATACATACATACATACATACATACACATAATAATATACATTTATATATACACATGCTATATATATAAGTATACATAAACACATATACACACATACAGAATCAAATATTACAAAAATGGTGATCATGTTTTCAGGTAGAAATATTGAGAAAATAGAATTTCTGCATTTAAGTGTATGTTTGAATGTACATAATAAATTGTTTAAACAGGAACTAGAATTACACCTTTTTCAATTGAGAAATATGCAGTTTCTTTCAAAAAACAATTTTGGCAGAAACATAAATAATTTAATTCTGTAAAACAGAATAAGGATGGATCAGGCCTGGTACTATTCAGCAAGCAGATACAGCAATGTGTTTTTTTTATTAAAAAAGTTTTACAATTACATTTTCACCCCATTTCCCCCCCCCACCCTCCCTAACCCCCCCTAACCCTCCCTAACCCACCCCTCCCCCCGGACTTCCACAAAATATAATCCAAATCAAAATCCCCTTTTTATAAAACTTGAACCCCTCCAACCCCAATATATTTTCCATCTTAACAAAATCCACATATTTCTATCTCTATTTCTATCTCTATATAACACTTTCAATTAAAAGCAATGTGTTTTTCATGGTTAAGACATCTAATCTGTAATTGAATGCATATTAACTTTTATGAAGTATAAATTGATAAACCTTTTTATCATTTATCCATAAAATACTTTCATTGGAAAATAAAGACATAGCTTTGTTACTTAAGTGATGAAAACATGATTCTGTTCATAAGATTTCAGTTTTACAGCATGATTAATGTGTATCAATTTGTTTAATAGTCAAAATCCAGACTCATTTTTTCTTCATGTAGATTTCCTTGTAAATAAATTGAAGCATACTTGGATGTGTGGCATCACTTCACTTGTGTGTCAGCGTAGCATTCTGCATAAGGAGAGCAGCTTCCTACAGAAATCTGCATTCTGGGTCAAGAACCAGCTTCAGACATCAGTATTGGATATAAAAAGGTAGCTTTAGAATGCACTGCATAATCTATTTGCTCAAAGCTAGCCATTACTCAGATTACTGATAATTTTAAAATATCCTGTAAGTAGGATTTCATATTTCATTCTGAGATCAATATTTATTTTGTTTGAAAGCATGACCACAATTGGGACTGGACTTCCATCATTAAACGATGCGGTTGTTAAGTGAATTATCACTTGACCGTGCACAGCATTATGATCTTTTTTGCTATGGTTGTTATACAAATCATTCAGTTGCTGAGTGAATCTGGCTTTCCCCCTTGATTTTGCTTGTTGAAAGATGGTTGGGAAGGTCGCAAATGGAGATCTCATGATCCCAGGATGCTGCAACTCTTGTAAATGTATACTGGTTGTCAAGTGCTGGAATCATGAACATGTGACTATGGGGATGCTGGATTGGTCATAAGTGCAAGGACCGGTCATGTCACCTTTTTCAACAGCTTCATAACTTCAGACTAAATGAATGGTGGTGCCGCCCTGAGTCTTCGGAGAGGGGCGGCAAATAAATTGAATAAATTAAATTAAATTAAATTAAATTAATTAAATTATTAAATTAAATTAAATTATGGACTACCTGAACTTCATTTTTCCCATCCCATTTTGGTTCTTGTTCCTTTTGTTATAAAATAAGTTTTATTGAGATAAAGTGACTAGTAATCACTTAATAAACTTTACCATTGTCAGCTTTTACCACACTGCCTTGTCTTCCATGGATATTCTGTATGTTCTGTTGTGTTGTTGTTAAAATGCGTAGGCTGCCAAATCATCCAGATTTACCTTCCAAATCATTACAGAAATTATTTTATGCTCATTTATGCCTGAGGTTTGCTCTGGCTCATTTTACTAAATGATGGTTTCATTGTTAATCTTAGTCAGATTGCATCTATATATGTTTTTCGTATGAACAGGTGTTTTGCTATCTGAATTCTGTATCAAGCAAAAAGTTGGTTTATTTTCAGTTTGCAGGTTTTGATCTCTGTGGTCAATAATTTGTTGACTACATTGCTAGAAGCTGAAGATGTTTCTGCTTGTGTTCTGAATGATTATGTTGAATGGCTTACTCCAACTCAGACTGAATGGGAAAAGATGCGGGAATCTCTGTCCACTGAGGTATGTAAGCTAAAGCAAAATTGATACACGGTAGAGTAATCTTCAGTATATTTTACCTGCTTAGATTTTTTTCATCTAAGGATCCTGCATTAATTATTCTAAGCTTAAAATAAATGAAAGGTGTAAGAATTGCTTTCAACATACTCATTTGAAATATATTTTAAGTATAGCAATAATAATTTTCTCCATGTATGAAATATACTTTACATATATAATTATACATTATATTTATAATGTATATTTTATTTATGTGTAATGTAAATATATCCCTTGACAATTAGTGCTATATCTAGCTTTAATTATCATGAATTAAATGTTAAATCTTCATGAAATTTTATATAAGTATGGAATGAAATTTTGCTTTTCTCAAAGGAAGATATAATACTTTAATGTATGTTTTTTTATATGTCATTACAGTGGTTGAGGAAACCACTTCTGGAAGGAAGACTAAGTATTAATTGTGAATTACCTGGAATAGATCATAAATTTTCTATCCCAGCTAAACTTCCAAGTCATCTTTGTACTGCAGCTCTGCTTAGTAGAATGGCATTATTGATACTGGAAAAGAAGGCTGTGTTTGAAAATTCTGAAATAGAAAGAAGAAAAATTGATAATATCAGTAAGTGATAGCAAAAAAAAATAATAATTAAACCTGTGTGTGACAATCTATTATATTCTTTTTTTCTGTTATTGCCATTTTGCCAAATAGAAATGTGACTTATGTTACATTAAATATATAATAAAATTATATTTAAAATTCAGGGGTTGATAATGACCTATTGGGATAAATAATTGAATGTCACAACCCATATATTATGATGGAACAGCCCTGTTTTGCATTAATTAATAGGTGCCATCCACATTGATATTTCCAGGTTCTAAGCCAGGATTTCTCAACTAGAGAAATGAAACCCGAGTGTTCTGCTACAAGTCACTATGGGTTCATCAAGAGAATATGATTGAAAAAAAATGTTTTTTTAAACTTATCTACGCCATGTAATGCTCGTGCTTGTGGCAGTGTAATTTTTACCCCCTGTGACTTAGCTGTGGGCATATTGCTTTGCTGTTGGGACATGAAAACAATTCATTTCTAACCTACACAACTCAAAATGTTTACAATCTGAATTGTGTAGATTAAAAGTGAATAGTTTTGTGTGGTTTTAATATTTTTTCCAATTTTTATACAGGGGTTTCCTAAGATCTGAAAATTATTTTAAGGCTTTCTCCAAGTTAAAAAGGTTGAGAAAGACTACTCTATGCCAGTGTTTTCTTACTTAATAAAACCATAAAGAGTTAAATAAGTGTATATATCTAATTAGTTACTGTTAAATTATAGCAATATAATATATATTTGTGTTTTTCTAGTTGTAGAACAGCTGTATGCCTTACAGTGGATTGAAGAATTAGCAAACCCATCTGGTTTGCTACTTGAATTTCTTCATAATACTGAAGTAATGAAAATTTCACATGAAAATTTCTATCTACTCAATATTTCCCAACTTTTACAAATATTGTTCAATAGGTAAGTATTGAAGGAAAAATATGTATTTCTCATAAGGCTTTTATTAGAAATCATCTTGATTTATTTATTATAAATGTACATAGTGCCTTTATATAAACAATTATCGCCTAAAATAAATACAAATGATTTTATTGTACTCATATATAAACCATGTTAATCTTAGAAATTTTGTATTCTTTGTAGATCAAAAGAGAGTGGACGACTTTGGGCTTTAACAATGGCTAAATTGATAAATACAAAAAACTTTGCACCCTCTGAGATTAAAGCACTTTTTGATTCATTTGAGAGGTACGATAGATAGTAAATTGGGACTATGTGGGAACTATAATTTTTTGTCCTACTATTAGTGATTAAATCAAGACAGGAAAAAAGGCTGTATAGAATGTTTTCCATTGCAAACAGAGATGATGTTGCTATTATCATTATTGGTCTCAAACAGAAGAAACTTTGTCCTTTTCTGTAGAGCTGAACATGTGTATGTATGTATGTGTCTGTTTTTATATGTGTGTATTTGTATACACATATATACATAGGATAATAATAGTTGTCTATTGCATCTGAATCTTATATTAACTAATAGCCAACAGTAACACACACACCTTCAATTCTCTAATGGCTTTTTATCCTATATTACTTAACATCTAGACCCATGACTGTTTCAGATAAATGGTGCAGCTGTCCAAAATGTCTTACTTTCTTGTGTTTTGCTGCTCATAAGAGTTCTGCATATAACGATCTCTCTCATTCTGATTTTTGAATTTTTTTATCAATATAAAAAGCTTTATACTGATTCCCTAATTTTCTTTTTCCCATGAACAGCTTTTTCCCATTAACTGAAGGAAACCTGCATACACTTCAGAGTCTGTCTCCAGTTTTATCCGAGGAAGATAAAGAAGAACTTGTCATTAGATTCACAGCTAAACTAATGACATGTAATGGAACTGATCTCTTCGGTACTGAGGGTCAGTGTCTTAAATAATTTCTCCAATGCTACATTGAGTTGGAAGAGGTAGGACGTTTAGTGCACACAATCACATATTTATTTGCAATTAATAATTGCAAAACTATTTTAATGGATCTTGTTACTTTACTAGAATTGTCAGTATTCAATTTTGATCACTAAAAACTTTTCTTTTTGTTTTCTTATACTCTAAGACATTTGATAACTTATTAAACTGATATTTCACACAATTCAGGAGCATTTGGATATCTTGGCATTTTAAATTCCTGCTTGAATACTCAAGATACTGATTATGGAGAAGTAATGGCTGGAATATTGAAGGTCATCGTATCTTGGCGCAGTGATTATGAAGATAGTTTTCTTTTCAGCTGGTGAATTATTTAATTTTCTTATTTTTCAAAGATAATTCATAGAATAACAAATAGGTTTGCTCACATTATAATAGTTGAATTTTATTTATTTTAATCTACGATTTTAGTCCAATAATTGGAAGCTTGTCTTGTATCAGGTTTGTCAAACTGGTCCTCTATAGATGTTCTAGCATTTGAATGCATTTTGTTTTAGAAAAGACATCATGTGTAACAGGAATAAGAGTGCATCTTAATACACTCTTATTGTTCACAGATTATAATGAGTATTACACTTTTAAAAAAACTTGTACAATCAATTATTTCATTAAATATATTCAATTTTTTTGATTGAAAGCTGCAATTGTGATACAAAAGAACTTAATTTCAGTATATACTTTTGTGGTTTGAGAATGTTGATTTTTACCAGAGAGATAGCTTAATATATCTCATAAGACAAGCTGAGCTGTCCATAAATCAGGTACTGTTTGTGGAGTTCTTGGTACTCTCTAAGCTTGATTATTTGCTTGTAGATGTTTCATTACCCAACCAGATAACATCATGTTTTTTGGTGTTGGGTATTGAAACATTTGCAAGCAAACAACTAAGCTCACAGAGTACCAATAATTCCACACTGCAATACTGTACTGCAGATACTTTTTTCTTTTGGAAATATGTTTTTGTTGTTTGCATTCTTGTTTGTTTTGAACTTTCTCACCTGAATGTTTTCTTTAGTAAATGAAATCTTGACAGAAGAAAAAATGGAGGTGTTGGTTTTATTGTAATACAAACATTTGTCTTGCCCTTTCATTTTAGTTTATCTTCTGAACATTTTCTTAATTTTTTGCCCCAGCAATCTACAAGAAACAAATCCACAGCTGCTTGGTTTAAATATAGAAATGATCCGTTTCATTTCTCTGTTGCTGAAGAAGCCTGTCTCCTTATTGGAGAGTGAATGGGATTTTGTCATGTGCTCCATGCTAGCATGGTTAGAAGTAAGTAACAAACATAAAAAGAATGATAATAGTTTCTGCATTTAAAGAATTTCACATTCCTTGTGGGAAAAAAATCTCTTATTTTGGAAATGTAAAATATGATGAAAAAGCTTATGTAAACCAGTAAGGTTTATTACATGATCAATATTCTATGATTCTGGTAATAAAATGTTTAAGATTTTTGTAGAACTAAATTAACCCAGAATTCTATACTAATTTAAAGTAGTATCGATTAAAATATAGAAATATGTATATTGTTTAAAAAGTCATCTGTTAACTGCTAGAATCTACACTGGAGCACAAATCATTGTTTTGATTTGTTATAAAATGGTAGATTTTTTTAAGGTATAGCTGAAGAGTTACGTAAGAAATATTTGAGGTGACATGTTTTAAAATTTGCTATGAAAAAGAATAATTTAATTTAATTGTTTGCAGACAACCTGTGAAAACCCAGAAGTCTTTCCTGCCGCACAGGTACAAGTCTTTGCTTCTGTTAGCTGTGACCTGAGTGCTTCTCTAAGTGCATACTTCCAGGCAGCAACTCCTGAAATCGTTGAAAAATTTCCAGAAAACCTCATGTCTGAATGGCGGGACTTCTTTTCAGAAGGCATTCATAGCTTGCTTCTGCCTCTGTTGGCAAAAATCACCAGTAAGTTTGTGACGAAGGGTAAATATAGACAGGCAATGTACAGCCATAACATAAAAATACTTTGACAGGCTATTTAACACTCCAGGTTTTTGTTAGTAAATATTTAATTGTACTATTGGCAGTATAAAATATGTAGGTATATTTTGTGGTTTCCAGGATGATATAAAGAAAAAATCTGCATATAATTGCAAGATATTGCTTTTCTTTCATAGTTTCCATTCTTTCAGAATTCTTTGAATGTATTTCAGTTTTTTTATTTCATCATGTAAAACTATCACTTTGAAAGTATGACTGAATATTACTTATGGCACTTTAGATGAAAATAATTATTTATAATTGCTACTTGAATATTATATTTAATATTCAAGTTATGATAGTTTCAGGCTGTGAATTATCTTATACTTTCTATACAGGAAAAGAACAAGATGTAATGGAAACATCATTTCAGAACTCCATGTTGAAATCTTTGGGTAAAGCTTTAACATATATATCAAAGGATCAGTTACTGAACCACAGGCTTCCTGCCAAATTTGTTGCTGGTCAGAAAACAAATCTCCCTGACAATATACAGACTTTGTTAAATACTTTTTCTCCATTATTACTCTTCAGAGCTAGACCTGTTCAAATTACAGTGTACCACATGCTAAACAAGTAAGTTATTTCCAATTTCCTTAGAGCATGCTGTGATCTAGTTCTTTTTAATTTTATCAGTATAAGAAATACTTTAAAGCTAGGGAATATAGAAATACTATTCTTTATCACAGTAAAAAATATACATTTTCTATATACAGTACTAATAATTTCTTAATCATCCTAGGCTTTGTTTTCAGTGGAAGATAACCGAACTAGTGATTATAACTTCAAGGCCATATAGTTCAGAATTTATTATGAGCTGGATAGAGTAGTACACTATAGAGATATTTACTGCTGTAGTCTTTTGAGCTCCCTTTAATAACTTCTTCATAGATATTGCATGTGTAAGAATCTGACGGAGGAGGGAGCAAAATTAAAATAGACTTCTAGTTCATTGTACTGCGAAAGTACTCTATGATTGTATTCTAGATATGTACAATATGAATCTTATAGGCACCAGTGTGACTCAATTAATCATCTTGGCCATTCCTTGCCCTGCCTGACTTATTTTTCATTCAATAAGAATCTGGCATTCTTCAAAGCCATAAGCATCTAATTTAATATGTATCAGCAGATATATCTTTCTGCCTCATAGAAATCCCTCACCACCTGGAATGTAAATAGTATCTAAAATGATTGGTGAATTGGTAGTTTGTGACTGGCCCTGCTCAACAAGGCAACTACTTAATATAAAAATCAAGTCTGTCACTGTTGCCTTTTAATGACTGGGTCTATCATATACCAAAAATTAATGTTTTAATATGAAATCATTTGATTATGGTTATTTCTCAAAGTCAGATAAATATTTATGCTATAAAAATATAAATAGGTTCTTCTCATGTCTTTATTTCATATTCTAGGATAATGTCTGATTTACCTAAATTTGACAACGTGGATCTCAGATCTTATGGTGATGAAGAGGAGGAACTATTATTGTATGTTTCATTTTATATTTACGATGATTTATAGAGCTCCTTGTCTGAGTGACTTTGGGCCAGTTACTCTCTCTCAGCCCAACCCACTCATAGGGTTGTTGTTGTGGGGAAAATGGGAGAAGGGAGGTATGTTGGATATGTTTACTACCTTGCGTTATTTGTAAAAATGATAAAGGTGAGATACAAATAAATACATAAATAATTTCAACTATTTGCCTTGAGGTATTTGTAAAAATAAAAAAGGTAAGAATAAATACAGGTCTTTATTTTCTTTTGGGCCCCAACATAAGCAGTAGGACTTATTTTCAGGGGATGTCTTTATTTTTTCTTCATGTACAGGAGGCCTTCTTCTTCAGCTTGCTCATGAGGGGGCAGGAGGCTATGTGGTGCACTAGTGCCATTGCCACGAGGCAGGGCAGTGGAACTGCCGCACACGCCCCACACCACCTTATGTCTGGGCCCCTGCAGCAAGGCCACCCATGCCCTGACACCTGCCTTGCTTCACAGAGGTGGCTCCAGCCGCCCCATCAGGCAAGACCCTGTGTGGCCACTGGCCCACTTCTTCTGCTTGCTCACGGCCACAACAGAGTAGGAGGCCGAAGATCACACCAGTGCTGTGACTACAAGGCGAGGCGGGGAGGTGAAGCTGCTCCATGTGCCATGCACTTACCTCAGGACCCCCGCAGCCAGGCCATCCGCGACATATGCCTCACCTTGCGGCCATGGCACCAACGCCAGCACACCACTCTGCCTTCTGCTCCGTTGTGGCTGCGAACAAGCAGAAGTGGGCCTGTGGCCATGCGGGCTCCTAGTGCACATGGCTATTGTTGCAGCCACTGTGCGGCAGGTGTTGGAGCATGGATGGCCTGGCTGCAGAGGCCCTGAGGTAAGCTGGTGCAAGGTGCATGAGGCAGCTCCACACACACCCTGCCTCGTGACCACAGCACTGCCAACCACCAGTTGGAATGGGTGACTGGGTGGCTGTGCAGACTCTTATGTACGGCTTATTTTGCAGGTAAGGCTTATTTCCGGGGAAACGATAGTTTCAACCACTTGCCATGTTTTTACCCCATCTGCTTTTTTTTTTTTTTTTGAAGAAACAAAATTAGAATCATTTTTAATATCAGAAGTTAGAAATCAGTGTAGTAGGGTAAAACAAATACTATTTTAGCAATGATGAGTTTTATATATAGGAAAAATCATAACATTAAACATTTTGTAAATGAAGATGTTTATGTAAATATGTTAAATTCCTGTTACCAAATTCCAGTATTCCATGAACTCAATTTTCTGAACATGAATTTAAATCAGATAGAGATTTTTGAAGACTAATTCTATTTTGCTTATGTATTAAAAAGGTATGCAATCATCAGTTTGATCACTTATCTTCTAAGAGACCTAGGTCTTTTTCTTTAGGTTGGAGGAAATTATGGCCATTAGTCATGGTTACTAGAAACAAATAGAGAAAAAAAATTATTTGGAAAGAAATATGAGATAAGCCTTCCTTACACTAACACATTTTGGAACTTCCTGTTGGATGTCTGCACACTAGAAAAGCGTATGCTGTGGAGGAAGATATATGAGCTTTTAAACTCAAATGAAAAGTTATATGTGTGAGAATCGTATTAGTCTGTATATGGATGTCCAAGGATTGAAAATACAGTAAAGTACTATGTCATGAAAGTTACTCCTACTATTGCTGAATATTTTAAGCAATAAGGCTCTCTTAATGTATATGTGTGTGTATTTCTGTATGTAGAAAATAGATTGTTTTCTACATACAATATTTCCTCCCTTTATTTTATTTAGGTCCCCACCAGCAGCACTTATGACTGTTCTTACCACTCAGGAAGATTTACTAGAAAACATCCTAGAATGCATTCCAGTTGGAGAATTTGCAGAAATTCAGCCAATGAGTGATGAGTTTTGCCTTATTTTAGGATACCTTCTTACCTGGAAATTAATTCTTTCTTTCTTCAAAGGAGCTTCTTCCCAGGTAAAATTATTTATTTTCCACCCACCATCCTATGGACCCTTCAGGTAGCAAGTCAGTTACAGTGCTGACTTGTGTACATAAAGATTTTACTATTAGCAATAGAGATAAATTCATTGTAAGTTGTTTGGTCAGGAATTAGGAGCTAGGAACTTAAAAGTATTCTCATGTCTAGCCATAAGAGCATGGAAGAAAATTATTCCACCCCTAGCAATAGGAAAGCAATATTGAGCTTTCGGGCTATTTTTATTATTGTTTTGTTGTTAATAATGAAATGTAAACTGTTTGGTAGACAAAAATAAGATGAAATAAAAATAAATTTTGATAGACAATTTAAAATAAGATTTGATAGTCATTCAGTCTTGTCTGTAAACACGACACATAATCTCAGGTTGCTTAGGAGATATAAAGGTAGGTTGATATAATATTATATATGGATGTAAAGTTTATCCGTCATCTGTACTCATGCTAACACCTGACAATTTTACCTGTTGTCAGGAATAAAATGTTACCTATGTTCTCTAGTATGATGTAGTGCTTTTTTGCATGGGCCTTTCTACAGGGGCCACAAGGGCTCACTAGATGCTGAGAGTAGAAATAAAATAAAATGAAAACATACTTTTAAATGAACCTTTCTGTATTCCAATTACTTCATGGTCTATTGATGCAGGGGCTTTAGGGTCATTTTCCAGTAAGAATTCTTATTTTATTAAAATGTTTCATAATTCATGGGAATTATTTTACATGTTATTTTTCCTCCAGCTTCGAGCTCTTTATTCACAATGCCTTCGAAGAACTAAGAGTTTGAATAAACTATTATATCACTTGTTCAGGCTTATGCCAGAAAACCCAACTTTTCCTGGATCAATATCAGAGCTTTCAAATAAAGATGTAAAAACATATTTTACTGAAGAGCTTGATTTAGACATCAAAGGCAAGTCAAAATATTCTTAATTTTTCTGTATTTTATTATTTAAAGAGATTTTTTTTTTGTTAGGACTCCTCTAGGGTAGTCATTGTCCTCTAAAATGTTGCCCTATTTTCAGGTGGTTTAATGGCAGAACAAATACCTCCTAAAATATCCTTAGTTTATATTGCAATAATACATGAACAATCAGCACAAAATGGCTGACACTCTGTGTTGAATAGGTCCCAGTTAAAGCGGTTTCTTTGACTTGCCAAACCCTGCAGTGTTTTCATAGATTTTTTTTTTCTTTTGAAATTCAAAGCTGAAAGAATCTCTGCATGCTTCTGTATGGTCACTATCCCGTGTTCAAAGAGAAATCTGGCATGATTGCTAAAACTGTCTGAATGATTGTGAGGCATTTCACTGCCTCTAATCTAGAAAGAAGTCAGAATTCTTAATATGTGCAGTAACAGGTAATGCCTCTAAATGTGTTGAATTCCCAGAATTCCCAGTCAGCACGGCCGTGGGGATGTGGATACCATTTTGAGAGAAGAGAGAAAAATAGTTTTCTGTCATGTAATAGGTTTGACATATAGGCAGCTTGGAATTAAAATAATTTTGAAAGCAATTCTCTATTCCTAGCTTAGAATAAGCCCTAGTGAATTTAGTAATTCAAGTAAGAATGTATACTATTTTACTCACATTACTAAGAAATGGAAATACTGTAACTGAAAGCATGAAACTCCAGCACTTTTTAAACTGGCTTTATTTCTATATTTTTTCCATTTGTCCTATAGACACACTAGCAATGTCTTCACACATTCCACATTTGGCTTGCACTGTCTATTGTATGACCTTAAAAGATTTGCCAGCTATGGTTCGTCTTTGGTGGAACAGTTGTGAGAAGCGAGTCTTCAACGTTGTAGATAAATTTACAAGCAAATACGTTAGTGGTATATTGTCTTCCCAAGAAATATCTTCTGTGCAGACCAGTACCCAGTTGTTTAATGGCATGACGGTTTGTATCATCTTTTTATTATCTCGCTGTCTGTATGTATTTGTGTGCATTTCATTGTGTGGTATGCTTGATTAAATACAGTGATACAACTGTTTTCTGAGAATTGATTGGAAGTATTGAGGTGTTCTTAGGGCTGCTCTCAAAAAATGCAGGGAAATCTGCAGCTTAAGCATTCGTCTATGAAGCATTTCTGTTCTAAGAAGTACCTAAGTTGTTTACATTACTAAATGAAAAAATGCAGCAGCCCCCAGCCTTGTTGGCACCAGGGACGTTTTGTGGAAGGCATTTTTTCTTTTCCACGGGAGGGGGGGGGGAACGCAATCTAGATCTTGCGTATGCAGAGTTTTGTTCGCCTGCCACTCGCCTCCAGCTGTGCAGCCCAGTTCTTAACAGGTCATGGACTGGTCTGCAGCCTGGGGATTGGGGAACCCTGCCTTAGAATATATGCAGAAACCTAGCTATTGTTGGGTAGTGCCTCTCCCTCAAATAATGGCTTATCTTGTAGAAATAAATTCCAGATGACAATACAATTCCACATGTACCTACAGTATTTGGGATTATTTGATATGTCCTCTATTAAATATATAGATGCAATTAAAATAAAGCAAAAGAAGTTTATTAGTTAGAGCCTACATTTACTTATAAGAAATATGAAGTTATGATTACCAAGCATATGAATTGTGCTGCGATTTTTCTTCACAGAAAAATTAAGCTCAGTCATAACAATACAGAATCCATTGTTTTTAAAAACTCTTCAATATAGTATTTACATAAGTAAGCATCTATCTTGTAAATGTTACTTTTATCGTTTGTATAGGTTTGTGTTCTAAACAGTCTTAATGTTAGACTCAGATTATTAATTAAAATATTGAATAATGCATACAGGTAGTCCTCAATTTACGACAACAATTGAGCCCAAAATTTTTGTTGCTAAGTGAAACATTTGTTAAGTGAGTTTTGCCCCATTTTACAACTTTTCATGCCTCAGTTGTTAAGTGAATCACTGCAGTTGTTAAGTTAGTAACACCATTATTAAATGAATCTGGCTTTGCTTGTCAGGTCACAAAAGGGGATAACGTAATCCAATTGCCAAGCGCCTGAATTTTGATTTCATGACTTTGGGCAGGGTGCAACGGTTGTGTGAAAAACTACCATGTTACTTTTTTCTGTGCCGTTGTAACTTTGAACGGTCACTAAATGAACTGCTGTAAGTTGAAGACTACTTGTATTGTGGAATAGGAAGTATAACTGACTATCTATTAATACTAATTCAGCCTAGGTGGAAACATGTTCACTGTGCTATATTATTATAAACATGGTTTTCATTGTTGCTTAAAAATAAAATTTGAAAAAAAAAATCAGGTACAGGTTGTCCTCACTTAGTAACCATTTATCCAGCAACTCTTCAAAGTTATGACAACACTGAATGAATGGTAAATATGTCTGGTCCTTGGAGTTACAGCCATTGCAGTGCCCTTGCGGTCATGTGATCAATATTCAGTGGCTTGGCAGCACCTTATGATCGCAGTGTACATTTCAACTGCTCTTGCCCATCTCTTCCATCTCTGCCCTTTTAGTTCTGCTGCACTCCCACCTGCTCCTGCCAACCTTTGCCATTTTCTTCCTCCTGCTGCTGCTGCCAAGGCACACCCAGTCAAGGCAGGTGTTGGGTTTTGTATGGCCTCCATGAAACCTTGTAAAGTTTTAGGAAGGCAACGCAAGGGTTGCCTTCCTAAATAACTGCCTCAGCTGGGCAGAAGGAAAATAGCAAAAGTCAGTGGCAGTGGCAGGGGTGTAGATCCCAGGGCAACCAAAAGGACAGAGATGGGGTGGGAAATAGATGAATGGAGTTGAAATGGAGGTCAGACAGGTAGCAAAAACGAAAGGAGACCCTTGTCTAACTATTTCAACTGGAACTGCCATCACTAAAAGTTAGGGTCATGTGATGGTTCACCTAATTACTTCACTTAGTGATGGAAATTTCGGTCACAGTTAGGGTCTTTAAGTTAGGTCTTGAAAGTAGGATCGAAACATTTTTGCTATAATAAATGGTAACATTTTTGTTTTCACAGGTAAAAGCTCGATCTGCCACTCGAGAAGTCATTGCTACTTACTCAGTTGATGATATATTCATTGAACTGATCATACAGCTTCCCCCAAATTATCCTTTGGGCTCCATAGCTGTAGAGAGTGGGAAAAGGGTTGGTGTAGCAGTTCAGCAATGGCGCAATTGGATGCTGCAGCTTAGCACTTACCTCACTCATCAGGTACTTTTTTCATATACAGTCTTGACTCTGGTCATATGAATTAGATCTGCTATAAATAACAGGTACCTGAACTATTTGAAAGGTTAAAAAAAATTGTCTGGAACTCAAAGCGGTACTTGTTGGACAGTTTATAAAGCAGTTGCATTCTTCCCGGATCACATAACTGAGCTCCAGTGCTGCAACAATATCCCAGGAAGGCATATAGTAGGTAAAACTGATTATTCAACACATCAACACTACATAAAAACCTTACTGTATATATTATATACTGCATTATGAATTATATTACATGCATTTGCAGGAAATTGTAAAAGATGGAAAATTGGGATTAAAAATCTCTGAAAGGTGGTATTGCACAAAACTGAAATGCATTATTTTCCCAACAGAATGGAAGCATTATGGAAGGGCTAGCATTGTGGAAAAACAATGTGGATAAACGATTTGAGGGTGTTGAAGACTGCATGATCTGTTTCTCAGTTATACATGGCTCCAACTACTCCCTTCCCAAAAAAGCTTGCAGAACATGCAAGAAAAAGTTCCATTCAGCCTGCCTGGTAAGTATATTGTCTAGTTATTATTTCTGAAGGAAAACAAGTCTGAAATTTATATGTCTTTAATGCTATTAGTAGTCATATGAACATTTAATAAATAGCTTAATAAAATAGTTTATTGTTAATTTTGTAAAGGGAGCTTTTAAGAAAATTCTAGGATCCTTTAAATTGAAATGATTTACTGTTTTCAGAGGGGCAATAGAAGTTTTTATTTTTCAGGGTTTTTTATATCTTTGATGTAGATCAGAGCTTAAAGGAAACGGGCTAGTTGAAAGACAGTTACTATTTCATGGAGTAGCCTAGTATTGTTGGCTACTAGACTATTCCATGAAAATACTTCATTACAAATAGGCACTTAATATTTAGAGATAGATTTAAAGATGCCATAAAGTATTCAGTCTTGACTGGCTAGTGTTTAATTGCAAATAGTAAATGCTAGACTATTCTTAATATTTGCTTTCTAAATTTCTCTAGTACAAATGGTTTACATCTAGCAACAAATCCACTTGCCCTCTTTGCCGAGAGACTTTCTTCTGATATACATCATTTTTCTGCTTCAGTGAGCCTAAAGAAGCAATTGAAAACCATCATACTTGGACTGAGCAGTAAAACCTTAATTTCTTCACTTACAATAAAAAGTTTGAACTGATTGATCATTTATTAGTATTACTTACTATCTTTTAATTAAAATATTCAGATATGAAATGTAGAAATGGGTGACATGTAACAGTTTTTGACCTCTGGCTGTTTTGTAGTATATCCTGTCTTACATAAGCCCTGTTAAGGTCGAAAGATTTTAGCAGCATGAAGAGCAATTTAATAGTTTGTTCAATTAGAGATCATGATTAGAATTGGCATTAAAGGTTCAAAATGAGAGGGATATACACACATTTGGGATACCCACAGAAGCATCTGTGGTACTGATTCTTAAACTATATATTGAACTTGAGGTAGCGGTAAACAATATTGTGAGCCAGCTAGTGCAACTTATAGCAGTTGCTAGTACTGTAGTAGGGACCAGTGATGTGCAAAAGATTCTGAATTTAAACATTCAAGTTTGAAACAGTTCCAATCATATTTTAAGTATTCTAACTATCTAATGATATTCTAAACCTGAAACAGTGTGAAATTGAAATAACTATTTCAAAGTTGAAACAGTTGTTTTTACTTAAAACTTGCAGGTGCTTATTCTTATTTCTACCAAACCAATGTGGAATACCAATAAGTATTCTAAACTTGAAACATTTCTTGTAACATTGAAAAAGCCATTTCAAACTTGAAACAGTTATTTTTACCTAAACTTTGCAAGCCCCAGAATATGCAACAAAAAACAAAAGAATAAACTCCATGCTAAATTCATCATTCAGAATCTCAGATGATAAAAAGAAGCAATTTAGGACAACAGCCACAATTTCTCTCCTAGGTAACTGTATGATAGGATTATAACAACGTTTATGCAGTATTTTACATTCCACTTTTATAAATTTATTGCAAAAATTTTGATTTTACACATGGAAATATGCATATTTTTGAATTAAGATAATCTGCTAATGTGTACTTGTTGACAATAGATAGAATTTAATCTTAATTAAATGTAACAAATTAATCCAAGATAGTATTTTAGAGCAAAGAGTCTACTATATGAAGATTCCTCCAGAAGCCAGCTTCAGGATTTGTAGAATTTCAGAACTGAGAGATACTCCCTCCCTGCTTGTCTGGAAATTACTTTACTGCCATTTAAACCACATTTCTGCAATATTTTAATAATTTCATCTGCAATTTAAAAAGAGATTATCATTCAGTTTAGAAACAACAACTGACTTTACTGCTAACCTAACTGAATCTTGGGGAATGGGGGTGGGGGTGGGGGGGAGGATGACAGTGCACTGGAGCCATTTCCATGTATTTTATCTCTATATAATAAAAAGAAAGTTAGCCTATTTCTTTAGATCTTAATATCCTGTGCTGACTATAACCTTATGCATTCTGTGCAGGTTAAATAAGTTTATCTGCCCAATGTATGAATGTCAGAAAACTAGTCCCTGTGCTTCATTTCATTTTATAATTTCTCTCTACATTTGAAAGGGCATCTATGTTCTTTTGTTGATTGTGTTTAATAACAACATAGTAATATAGATAATAAAGCTCAGACCTGCATCTACTACAATAAAATTTGAAATAGAATTTTTATCCAGGACTCAAAGATTTTACATAATTATTAAAAAGTATTTTGCATGACAACCACCCCAATATTAAAAAGAAATTGAGATATGGTTACCTGGATTATTTTCTTTAATTGTAACTAAATAAAACAATCCTCTCGCCGATAGTAAGTCTGACACAAGTGGAAAGAGTCTATCCATAACCTCTCTGCCATTTTTACCTCCAGCCCAGGTGGCCTCTATTCCATGAGTTTGTATCTAGAACAAATAAAATATGGAAAATTGAGCTGAAAGGTCATACAGAAGACAGGGTAGACTTGTTCAAGGTTATTTCAAAAAAGAGGGCAAGGAATAATAATAATGCATATCTCTATTGGACAATACATATTTAAGAATTGTTCTGCAGTTCTTGTTCTGTGTTTTTTGGGAAGATTCTTCTTCAGTTGTTAGATGCTGCAATAGTGGATTTTTTCAATGGACAGGGAGCTAAATTAGATCATCTCCAAGATATAGTCAATTATTATCTTCTATGCTTCTATGGAATTGGGATTAAGCCACAAATATCAAAAGAAGATGTAGAAACAAGCAAAAGCAGAAGTGAAGGATGATAATGTTCTATGTATAAGTAATTATTTAGAAATACAAAAGCTGGGGTGTGAAAAAATCAATTTCCAACTAATTGATTTTTTTCAATACTAGTGATACTTTACTAGTGAAACTTTACAGAAGCTGTAAATTATTGGTAATTGGTAAATAGTTAATTGGTAATCTTAAATCTCATATGATCATACCTCAGCAGAAGGGGTTACCACATAAGGTGGGTTAAATAACAGCAAATCAACTTTTCCATGTAATCGTGGCGACAATCCTGTTACCTGAACATAAATAAAAACATTAGCATTTATGTAATGCATACGATTATGCAGGTTCACTACAAAAGATATTGAAAGATACAGGTTCCTTCTTACAGATGCATAATCTAATTCAAAGAAGAAACAAGGAAAAAAGTGAAAAGCAGGTATTGGAGAGATTTTACCAAGCATATAAATTTTGCCAAGCATATAAAATCTAATGCAAGCTAATCTTATTCCCAAACCACTTGTCTACCAGTGCTTATTCCAGGAAAACTACAATGTTTAAAATACATCTATTCAATACCAGCTAAGTTTCATATTATAATTAAAATATATCATGCAACCTAATAAATTGGTTTATCATATATTATATAATGGATAAAGGAGCCTGCATATAATAACTTTTTTCTATCATTCACATGTTTTAGATAGCTCTACTGCTAAGAAGTTTCACTCATTCTACACCCAAGATAGAATACACTGAGGTATCAAGCACCACTAACATTATTCAAGCTAACATATAGTGAGTCACTTGAAAATATCAGAGCAGCACAGATCACAACTTGTATTATGAAATCAGCTGTGTTGTGCCTGTTGGTCACTGGTCCCTCCAGCAGCCAAATCTTGAAGAGGCGGCGTGGGAGTCAGGGTCAGCATCAAGGCAATCTGAGAGCTCCGAGGGGGAAGAGGGAATGGAGCTGGCAGAGAGAGAGACAGAGGCGGAGCCTGAGCTGTCCATCAGCCCTCAAATGGAGAGTCAACAGCCCCCAGGTCTGGAGGTGGCTGATGAGGAAGTGGAGGAACAGCTGGGTCCAGTGCCTGACGCACGGATGTGCAGAAGGCAGAGGAGAGGAGAGCAGTGGAAATCTGTGGGCCAATCTTGGGAAGGAAGAGCCACCGCTGCTAGCGAAGCCCCACCCTAGCTCTGAGGATAAATGCAGGGGACAGAGATGAATAGATGTGGCAGACAACTATTCATCTCCCTGCTGGACAGACTTGTTAGCCTGCGGTGAGAGAAACTTTGCCAGGGCTGCTGGTGCTCCTAATAAAGGAATCTGAGTTAACTTCAGAGCGTTTGTCATGTTTGGGGATCTGGGTCAGAACAAGCTGATTGGTGCACAGGCAAGCAGAAGAGCTCAATTACTTCTAGACATTCATATTATAAATAGCCATTCTTACCCTAAAATTTAACGTAAATGATGTTTGAATATTGATAACATTTTAAAATTTGCTGACCAAAGCAATTAATTATAATTTGTCTTACCAGGTCAGTAATTACTGGCTGAATGTGAACACTATTTTCTCTAGCTGTCTCTACTGTGCATAGACCAGCCACAGGGTTGATATCAGTACACCTGTATGCACAAAATTATATTTTAGTAAACAGAAGCTATCTTTGGTTACCTTAGAAAATAATTGGTCAAATATAATTTAGATCAGATATTTGATTGCACTGCCATCTTGATTTTTCTGATGCCTTCCACAGATACCCCCATTTTTTTGAAATACGTAAGTCCTTGGTTAACCACTTGTTCAGTGATCAAGGTGATGTGGTTTTGTGCACTGCCTGCATCTCACAAATGAGGCTGTGCTTGTTTGCGTAGTCTAGTTTCTGGCATGCTGCAGAACAGTACCAGTCTACGGACCAGGGATTGGGGACCCCTGATTTACAACAGCACTAAACAAATGGAAATTGACTGATTCTCAACATTCCAGCCATCTGATTCAGTGTAATGCCTTTTATGTGCTATACCTTAAATGTACACGACTATGTAAGAAAGTGCTACTGTATACACATACAGTATGGACACATTAAAGCAGATAAATATTGGTTTCTAAAACAATAGTGAAATACAAGCAACAGTTCTGAACTGAGCCATTATCTTGTAGAACTGTCAGATACACTATTTAACACCAAATTGTATTTCTTTTATCTAATGTTTTTTTACCAAGTGAAGAATTATACCATTGACATAATCCAAATTTATATGTAATAGCTCATATTCACATTCCAAAGACTATGCTGCATTATTTAACTAACAAAAATTATGCATCAGAATTATGTTACCTTATATAACTCAAATGCCATATAAATACTTACATGTAAAATGCTTCGGATCCAACAATTGAAGCTAAAAAAGTTGAAACTACTCCAGATCCAGATCCTACTTCAAGGCAAATATCAATGCTAGATGAATGCAAAAATAATAGTTGAGATTAAAATGAGAATTACAATGTAACATACAAAACATACATGGTTTAATGTATACATTTCTGAACTATCAGTTTTCAAATTAAAAATCAGATCCAGCAGTCAATGAATAATGTCAGATTAATAAATGTAATCTGAAACTATAAAATAATTACAAGATCCAACCTGGGTCAGTCAACCTCTGGTCTCGGTGACTGACCCAGACTGGATTTTGCAACATTATCCTGGGACAATTATATTTGCCTTCACTTGTAAAAAATCATTGCCATAATTGCAATTTAAATAACTATATCTGTATGCTTACCAGAGCTGTTCAGTGTTAGGTGGCATCCAACTTTAATAAATTACTGTATTATTACTATTATTCAACTTTGCTGATTTCTAAGACTGATTAAATTCTACCTGCAATGCTATTTTACACATCAATAAGGAAGCATGTTATATTTCCGGGTAACCTAAGTCTAGAAGCTTTATAGATTTTATTATATTTATGTCTGGATTTTATTTGTACATTAACATTTCAGAGATGCTTATTTGCTTTATTCTTAGACCCTGCAGCTAGATACAATTGTAGCAAAATCAAGCAGCTGGGGTGGGGGGTGTAATACACACACACACAACCTTTCTTTCTAAAGTTCATCTGAACTCTTCCCAGCAAAAAATACTGTCACTTGATGCAATAATGGCCAAACAATTCTTCTGCAGAACAGAATTGCAATTCTTCTGCAGAACAGAATTGCAGCATGAACAGTAGATGGTATTTGCTGCATATTGCTTTGGAAAATAGATAACAGGCCACAAGTTAACCAGAAAGTTTATACATTATGGTGAGTTGTATGTTATTTAATAGATGACAAAAACCTCCTTTTAAGGATTCCATGTAGCTTCTTGCCACTGTCTTTGTCCAGAGTCCTTCCCCCATCCCCCCTTTTCTGTCAAGCTCTGCCTTTTCCTGATGGCTTCCCTGTCAAATGTTCGTCCCTGACGAACCCTACTTAAACTTTTCAAGTCAATGATAACTGGGTGATCTATTTACTCTTTAAATCGTCTCATGTATGATGAGTACCAGCTTAATTCTCCCGGACGTTCATTATTAATGAACTGTATTAATGACTGTATTAACTCATTAATTAATGAGCTATTAAAAAAAGAAAAGCTTCAATGTGCACCGTGGATCTTATGCACACCTCAGGCCAAGTTTACCCATTTCGTTAAACTCGACTATGTACATTGCAATGCATAGCAATGTTTCCCTTGCCAAGCCCGCCCGTGCGCAGTCCCCGAACTCTTCTCCTGCTTGCGCAGGGCCGCCGATCGCCGCCTCACCCGGCGCTTCTCAGAGCTTCGGCATCCCTCTCGAGGGCGTCGAGCAGCAAGTAAGTGTCTTCGGCGGGCTCATAAACAGCGCTGAAGGGACCCTCTGGACCCACGTGCTGGTGCCGCGGGGTTGGGATCATCGCCGCCGCGGTTCTTCTCCCGGCCCCGAAAGTGAGCCTAAAGCAGCCATAGACCTGCAAAACAAAAAACCAATTTCTCTTTATTCCCGACTTAGTGAATCGCACGCCTCGCTTTCAACGAGGGCAAGAGAAACAAGGAACAAGAAACAAGAAAGCGCTGCTTTCACGCCTGCGCTTGGTCAGAAACGCCCAATGGTCGAGGCAGAGACACTAGAGCCCGCCCCTTGCAACGAACAGACGCCACCGATTCGTCGGTCTTAGAGATGGAAAGGTTAGTATCTGCTGTTCAGGCTCACCCGTTGAGGGAGGGTCATTTGCCTCCTGTGTAGTAGGTTTATTTGTTTTTATTTACTTATATGCCATTTTTATTATTTTTATAAATGACTCAAGGCGGCAAACATACCAACAACACATTGTGATGGGTTGAGAAAGAAACAGTTGCTGGCGCAGTGGCTATTTCTCCAAGCACTAGGACCAGGATCGTAATGCAACTCTAGTGTGCTAGTATGCCTCTTATATTGCTACTGGTATTTATTTAGGAGCCTTGGATTTGTGTGTGTGTGTGTGTGTGTAGGCGGATAAATATATCTAATAAAAAAAAATAATAAACAAATCCAAACACAACACAAACACACACAATATTAATGTATGCAAACATAAGAATAGAACAAGGAAATAAATATATACAATATATTGTAATCCAAATTTATAAATAGTTCTGGTAAAGTCTTCTTCAAATATTGAAAAAGACACCAGTCTTTCAAATGATTGCATAATTGTTGGGAAATGGTTTTCTTTTAGCCTTATATTTTTAAACAATAAAAATGCACTATAAATAAATAAATGTTTACACATTTATTTGTAACATTTACACAATAAATGTTGTAAGGATAATAAATGGATGTTTCCATTTATTATCCTTACAACATAAAATAAGAAGTACTGCTACATAACTGATATCCTGTACTATACTGTTGCCAAAAAATGAGTATCAAGTTCAATCTTTTAGATCAGGAGTCCCCAACCTTTTGGACCTCGGGGACCACTAAATTCATAATTTTAAATCCCACAAACTACTAATATGATTGCTACTCTACAAGAAAAGTATATTTTGATACATCTACTGTCAGTAAATGATTGTCAGTAGATGACTAATTAACATTTTATGACTTGTCAAAACATGTGCTGACAAATCTATAAATTAGAATGTTGGGTATTTTTAGCCTGTTAAAGATAAGATAATAATTTTGCTTAAATGTATGCTAGAAATAATGCTGTGATACAAAACCGCAATAGTTTGGTCAAAATGATATATATTCAGGTCATATTTAAAGTCCACAGTTGGCTTTGTGCTTAAGACACAACTAGAAGTCAGTCTCACAGTTTCTAGTCTGGTGCCTTAATCACTACATCAAGCTTACATCTTACTGTGTTCTTGCTATGTTTTTTATGTTCCCTACCTTGAGCCACACTCAATGAAAAATATGTTCATATGTTTATATGACCAGTTCATGATTTCTTGATGGAAACTTAATATATACCATTTATGAGTAGTTTAAACCTGGTTCAGGATGCTGTTAACACTTTAGAAAAGCTGAGAACCAATGACACAATATGGGAAGGATGTTTTCTTTATTTGTTTTTTTCAGGCCAGGCTTATACTGAAGAGATGCCAGAGAATGTGTATATGACCAGGTGGAGTTTGAGACTAGGAGTCTAGGAGGATCCTCAAATTGTGCACTGGGTCTGTCTGGGGCACTGCTATTCCATTCACAGCTAAAGATGTTAAACTTCTTCATCCTAAAGCTCCATGTACCCAGAGCCACTCAGGATAGTAGTGAATTTCTTGGAAAAATTATTCAGATACCATGATATATCCATATTTACAAAAATCAAAATCCTGTAGGCAACAGTGTTATCTATGACGTTGTGTGGAAGTAAAAGTTGAGTTTGAAAGAGCAAGGTAGAAGGAATATTGATACTTTTGGAACTTTGTTGTGGGAGAAAACTCCTGTTAATATAAAATTATTTTATTTTGTACACATTTATCAAATTGCATCTGGGAAGTCTATAATGCTGGAGAAGAGAAGTGGATGATCAGCAGCAAGATGGATGGACCAATTACTTTTTTGATGGGTGCACCTTTGGGAGACCTGAAGTAGCGGTTGGGAACAGATCATTCTGGAGAAAGTCTATCTGTATAGTTGCTAACAGTCAACACTGTCAATCTATGCCATCTATAATTTGTAAGTCTATATACATACAGTATATAAAAAGGAGAAGTGCAGAATAAAATGAAGCAGTACAGGTAGTTCTCGACTTATGACCACAATTGACCCCAAAATTCCTGTTGTTAAGTGAGACATTTGTTAAGTGAGTTTTGTCCCATTTTATGACCTTTCTTGCTTCTGTTGTTAAGTGAATCACTGCAGTTGATAAGTTAGTAACCTGGTTATTAAGTGAATCTGGCTTTCCCATTGACTTTGCTTGTCAAGAGGCCGCAAAAGGTGATCACATACCCTGGGACACTGCCACCATCATAAATATGAAACAGTAGCCAAGCAGCTGAATTTTGATCACATGACCATAAGGATACTGCAAAGGTTGTAACTCTGAAAAACGGTCATAAGTCACTTTTTTCAGTGCTGTTATAACTTTGAATGGTCACTAAATGAACTGTTGTAAATCAAAGACAATCTGTATTTGCCTATAAATAATGCCCATTCATCACCCTAGAATCCTACAACTAGAATAATGTTCTTAATATGTTTAAGTGATCTTAGTGATTTTAGCTGAGATGAATAAATAACATTCTGCTCTTTCTTCTAAGTCTGTCTTGTAAATTATTTTGAACTTGTTTGGGATATTATAGCTGGAGAAAGGACTGATCTGATTGTGCAGTGTCTGGTGTTCCTTTTAGATAAATGCCTAGGGTATCTAACTAAATTTCGTTGCCTATTCATCAGGAAGCAACTATGTACTGTATATATCACTTAAAATGTCCAAATATTTATTTTCCCTAAATGTCCCCAAGAATGGAACTAAGTAACATTAAAACATATTGTGCAATTATTGTATTCTTTGTTGGCAGGAAAAACTGTTTTGCTTCTGATGTAAGGAATGTTAAAGCAGTGCTCATAAAACTGAATATGAAAATGATTTGGGGAAGTACATTTTCTCAGGAATACCTAATAGTTAACTGGATCTTAGTGAAAAGTAAAAAATGTTTTTGTTAAATGCACAGTCAAGTGGTTTTAGATTTCATTTAAGTCTGCATTTGCAGAAATAACTGTATTTTGGTTTTTGCCCTTCAGCAAATTATTGTAGTTAGTTTGCATATTTAAAGAGTCCAACAATTTCATTTTGTTGAGTAAAATATTCCAGATGACGACCATTAGAAACTTTAGAGGTTTTTGGACAGAGAAACTCAGTCAGGAAAGCCACAAGAATGTAGTGTATCCCTAAAATGTATATTTATTAATGATAATTGGTTTGATGAAGTGGCTTCTTTTGGGTAATATATATTCAATTGTTCTGTCTTTAAAAAAATCTGGAAATGTTTTTAAAATTATATCCAGAGATCCTACATTCTTTTGGTTAAAGTATGAAGTTGAATATAAACTACTGTATATGTTATGTGAAGTCACCATAACATTGTACTTTAAAGGATACAGCTAAAAATGTCAACATATATTACAGTTTACTTTAGTGCATTTTTAATAAACTTGCTTGAATTCCTTTAATAGAGGTACAGTTCACCTTTGGTAATATACCTAATAAATTTTCACCTGTCCCCAATGACTAAATACATAAAATGGATTCTAATCTAGATTAAAATCACAGCTAAATTAATTAATTCATGAGTTAAATTCTTTTATGTGAACCTGGTTCACTTGTAGGAAAAATACTTTTAAATGTATAAATCTTTAATACAAACAAAGAAAAAATATTCATCAGCAAAATAAGTTACACTTACTTTTTTTTGTTAGATTATTAGTTGTGAATTGGAAGAGATTATTTATAGTAATTGTGAATGTAATGGTAAACAATACTGTTGGAGGTGTGCATATGTTGCAAAATTTCTGGAAGTAAAAGATATTAAACTTATTTGAATTTACTAGAAAATAAAAATTGCTTGATTTGTGATTGCATCATTAAACAAAAGGACCTATAGGCCTATTTCAGTTTTGCAAAGAGAAATGAAGAAACCACCTTTAATATTTCAAAAATACTTTCTTCTCCAGTTTGTTCTCCAATTTACATGACATAAACTGAACTAAGATGCAAATACAGCAAAGTAGCAGTGTATGCATAATTACCTGGGAGTAAGAGGACTTTAATTCTTTTTTTAAAAATTCCCTGCTTGTATATTGTTTTATGTGTGAAAGAAAGAAATTATATGGGAATTATTTTATAGGAGGTAACTTTAATTCATTAATTGAATTAACATTAACTTAATTTTATTCTGACCTTCTACTGTGTCTTTTTTGGAAAGAAACATCTGGCTAATGTGCATGTACACATTGATCTGTGGACCATCACACTCCCATACACATAAATATTACAAATAGACATATTTATGTGAAAAAAAACCACAGGGTTTATGTCAGTATCATTGATTTATTGATTATCTCTACAACCTTCATTTTTGGGGGGAACAATTTAAATTCAAGGTAGCTATGCCATTTGGAATACTGTATTTAGAGTAAATAAGACAGGAAAGAAATAATTAATATACTGTAGAGCTATTAATTTAACAGGTGGGAAAAGTATATATGGAATCCACGATTTGAATATGGCTCTCCAACCTCATGGAGACTGACTAACCCAACATGCTTTCATGACCACATTGACAACACTTTTGATGTGATAGCCTACACATTAACAGTTGTTCTAAGGAGAAGCAAATGTTGCTTATTAAATATAGGGGTCATATTTTACTTTTAACATTTGCAACTGCTTTTTATTGCAGCTTTATCAGCAATTCTCTGCAAAAGATATATG